GGCGGCACCGCACGGCATCGCCAGCGGTCGGCGGCGGGGACCGAGCGGGACAAAGCAGCGCAGAGCTGGGACGGATGCGGACAGAGCGGGGACAGAGCGGAGCGGAGCGGGGGCACAGCGGGGACAGAACGGGGACAGAGAGGGACAGAGCGGGGCTTCGCGGTCCCCGCCGCCGGGAGCGAGGCCGCTGTCGGGAGTGGCCCGCAGGGCCGAGCGGGCGTTCGGGCAGCGCGGCCGCGCCGTCGACAGCTCTGCGCCCGACACCCGCGAGCTCTGCCGGGCCGCTGTCCGGTGGCCGCTCCGCGAAGGAAGGCGCCGGGCGGGACCGCGTTCGGGGCCGGCCCCGCCCCTGGGGCGGCGATTTAAATATCGAGCCGGGCCGCACACCGGCCTGGGCGGGGCCATGCAAATAGGGCGACTCTTAAAGCGCCAGGACGGCGGAAAGCGCGGGCGCGCGCGCCGTGCCCCTGACCCAGGGCTTGGGGCACCTAGTGGCCCTGCCCCGCTTGGAGGCCCAGCCCACGGCCCCCACGTTCCCGTACCCCCCCTGGCCGGGTGTTGGGGAAGTGAGGGCTTCGCGGGCGCACGCCCTGCGACGGGGACCATCCTCCTCCGTGAGGCCGCAGTGTGCACGGAGCAGTTTTGGGACAGACCTTACCTTGGGGGGCAGGCGTTCCGCGTGCTCTTTCAGGTTGCTGCCCGGCCAGGGAACCCGGCCACCCCGCTGCCAGAGTGTCATGGGGGGAGGGGGGGGCACGCTGGCTGAGCGGTGCCTGGACGAACCCTTCTAGGACAGACAGAGGCCAGCCCTACATTGCCCCCCACCCCTCCCTAGCCTTGAGCCTGGGGGCACTGGATTCCTGTGCAGGGCGAGGCTTCCTATCTGGTTTAATGTGGGAATGACCCCTGGCCTGGGGAACCTCAGGGCATTAAAGTGTTTCTGCCCCAGAGGTTTCCTGCCGGGTGCAGGCAGCAAGAGAATTTTGGCGACTCCTATGGGTGGCCAGTGGGGGCCTCTGGCAAGTGGTTTGATGTCCCTGGGCCCCTGGGTGGGAGTAAGACCTCAGGAGCCCACATTCAGATTCTCTGTCCCCAGCTGTGGTCACCCCAGCCCTCCTTCTGCCTCCGGGACTGCTGACCTGGGACATCACTGTGCATTTGTCCCTCAGGGGGCATCTGTTCACCTCTGGGTCCCAAGGCCCAGGGCAAGACTTGACTCTTGGGGCCTCAGTTCCTCCCCCATCCTCTCTGCTCTCAGAGTCTTGATGTTGGTGACTCCAGCCAAGCCCGGGGCCCCTGAAGACAGGTGAACCCCCAAAGATAAGCAGAGTGAACAGTCACCAGGTCCTGAGAGGTTTCACACTTGTCATTGTTTTTCTGTATTTTCCAAAACGTCTTCAATGAGCATGTTGTTTTGCAGTCAAAACAAGGAACATTTGATTTGATTTTTAGGAACTAGTGGGAGGGCCCCTCTGTGTGTGGATAATTCTGAGGCCTCCGGTTTACACAGATCCCGTTAGGATGCAATCAGGGCCACTCAAGAATTTCAGGAGGCCAGCCCTACACTGGCAGCACCCAGAGAGTGAGGGCCCGTAAATGCCCTAGTCCCACAAGGTGCAGCTGTGGAAGGACTGGAGACCCTAGGACACCAGGACAGGGGCTCCCAACCCCACCGCCCCAGGGAATCTCCTGGGCAGCTTTGTGAGATGCTCAGGCCCGGGCCCACCCAGAGAGCCTGCTTACTCCATGGCCTTCACCCTGGACTGGTCTGCAGCCTGGCCTGGGGGTTAACACAGGGCCTCACCCCCACTGGGCATTACATTAAAACAACAACAACAAAAACAACAACATCACAAAACACAACTCCACTGGCAAAAGGAGAAAAAAAATGTTTGTTTTTTTTCAGGTGCTAAAAATATTATCAGGAAATAGTTTTCAGCAATGTGTCGTTGTAGGTTCTCCTCTGGACTCAAGGGCGCCTTTGTCTCTGCCACAGAAAGTCCACATTTATCAAAACCAAAATGGTTTTATCAAGCAGGCTCATGTTCTGCGGCAGGAAACCTGAGCCTCCCCATAGGCCTGTGACATTTTAATTTAGGGCCTGAGTGTGTGTGCAGTTTAGATGGGGGAGCCTGGAGCCGGCCTCTGGATGCCCCAGGACTTGGGACTCCTTGCAGGGTAAGGTGGTGAGTGTCCACACCTGGCCCAGGGGGCTGTTCCCTGCAGGGCTGGGGGAGGGGGCTTTGGGGGAGGCTGCTAGTGGCAGGGGCTGGCAGGCTTGTTCCCCCCCACCCCCTACTTTCTCTTCTTCCCTCCAAGAGGCAGCTGGCAGGGCATAGATCTCCCCAGAGCAGTTGGTTCTACCATGCAGGTGAAACCAGAGACTCTGTCCCAGGTAACCCGCCACCTGCTCTGGGAATGAGGTTGGGAGATCACCGCGCCCAGAGGGGCAGGTAGGATCTGGCTCCTGTCACTACACTGTAAGGCTAGATGGGTGCCGCTGGTGTACCAAGACAGAGCGGGGAGGGCCTGGCTCAGGGTGCCCCGCTGTTCACCTAGCCAGTGTGTTGAGCCCACTAACCCCGGCCCACTGGCTCTCTATGTGCAGTGAGGGACAGAGCCTCCACGGAGCCCCCCACACCTGAACATCATGATGAGGCTTCTGCTAGTGATCGTAAGGAAATGCTCAGAATGGGTGCACATTCACTGCTGGGATGTTTGTTGCTGCTTTAGCTCAGGGTGGGGGGGGGGGGGGGAGAGAGAGAGAGAGAGAGAGAGAGAGAGAGAGAGAGAGAGAGAGAGAGAGAGAGACTAGAAACATTGAGCTAAGTTCTGCAGGGAGAGGCCATAAATGGGTTACAGGTGGGCTCAGGTATGGCTCTTCTTGCCCTGGGGTGGTGACAGGCCCCTCCCTGCCTCCTGCATATCCCCTGGTTCAAGGGCAAAGATTCCCATTTCTGAGTGTTCCATGATGGCAGGGAAACCACAGTGGAGACCCAGGCATGTGGGAGGCAGGGTATGTCCCTGGTTGGCAGCCAATAAAATTATGCGCTGTGGCCTTTCTAATGATGCAGGAAAACACAAGTAAAGTTTTTTGTGTGTTTTGTTAATCCTCACCTGAGGATATTTTTTCCATTGATTTTTTGAGAGAGTGGAAGAGAGGGGTGTGGGAGAGAGAGAGTGAGAGAGAGATCGATCCCCACACATGTCCTGACTGGGGCCAGGGATTGAACCTGCAACTCAGCAACGTGCTCTTGACCAGGAATCAAACCCAAGGCCCTTTGGTGCTTGGGCCGACGCTCTAACCACTGAGAACACTGGCCAGGGCTCAAGTAAACATTTTAAAAAGAGTATTAAAAGTAGCAGATACAGTCTAACCCACAGGCTCCGAGCATGCATGTGCTGGGAGAGGGAGCGCTCTGGCCTCACTTTAGCATCCACAGGTGAGAATATTAATGTCAAGAGGCCCAGATACCAATTGCCCTGGCCCAGCTGCACTCCTGGGTCCCTCGGCTCATTTCCTCCCCAGCTGTGGCCGAGATGGGGCCTTTGCCTCCCTCAAAAGCTGGTGTGTTGGAGGTGGAGTCTGTCTCCTCGGGTGCTTGGTCATCCTCCCCTGCCTCTGTCTTACAGTGTCACTTCCTTCTTTCTGGCCCCAGTGCTTCAGGATGGCCCTGTTCCCATGGCTCTCCTGCTCTCTCAGGAGATGAGTCCTCCTCCCCCTGTGGGCTTCAGGTGTGTCCTTTGACTCCTGAGAAGGTTGGTGCCCCAGACCAGGTGGTCCCCGAGGCCTAGAGAGCCTGTCTGGGATTGCACAGCTGGAGAGGAGCAGAGCTGGGACTGCCCTGCAAGGCTGGCAACTCCTATAGGGATGCTGGAACCTGCCGAGCCTCTTACAGGCCACAGAACTCCATGTGGGATAGCAGGGGAGAAGCACCCAAGGGCCTTGGCCCGAGTTCCAGGGAGCAGGGATGGGTGGGAGACGGGTCGCTTTTCTGCCCTATCCCTTCGACTGTGGGGAGGGCAGCAGTTCTGCCTTGACCTTGTATACCAGGATGGGCCTCTACCCCGCCCTCCTCCCTGCACCTCACCTACAGGGTGCTGTGTGAGGACAGAGTCCAGTGCCCAACACTGGGCCTCACTTTGCTCAGTCTACCTGGCCCAGCTCTGTCCTCCAGTCAACAGGACCCTGTGCCCAAAGCTTTGCTGGGCAGATGAGGGTGGGCGAGGCCAGCATGGCCCGCCTCCTTGGGGGATGGCAGGGATGCCCGTCTCTAGCTGTGCAATCCCAGACAGGTCTCCAAAGGACCACCAGGTGAAAACAAGCCTGGATCCATCTTGAATGAGACAGACGGCCGTCTCTCTGGGCCACAGCTTACAGTGGCCGAGATGGGGTGGCTTCCGGGAGCTTTGGACCCCTCCTGCCCCCATGCTTGTCCTCCAGAGTATGACAGGGGTTCCCTGGGAGGAGCTGAACTCACAAGAACCTTGGGTACCGTGAGTCCTGGGCTGGCTGGTGTCATAGAACAAAAGAGGCCATTTGGAGAGGAAAATAAATCGCTGACCTGGTATAAATGGGGGAAATGAATAAAAATGCCTATAGGTGAAGATGGCTGCCTTGTTTCCATAGCAACGGGGCTGGATTCTAAGGGTCCCTGGCCCAGGTTCACAGATTGGGAAAGTGAGAGGTTCTGCAACTCTGACTTTTAAGTTCCTGCTCCCGTGCCTCTCAGGCCAGTGAGTCACAGGGACCGACTGAGTCATTTCCAGCCACCTGCCATCGTGAGAGACCTGCAGTTCCTGGATACAGAAGGTTCCACAGCCTCTGGGCGTGGGAGGCGGGCACTGGGCCTTGAAGGACACTCTGTTTTTGGCTCCATTTGGTGGAAATGTTTTCCACGTGTTTCCCCGTGTTTACAGAGCTGAGGGCAGGGGATGTAGCCTGTGGCCAAGGAAACTGGCTTGGCGGGGTCTGTCCCGATGGCATGTCCAGGTGGAGACAGTGGCTGGAGGAGGAGGTGTGCAGCAGAAGCCCACGTCACAGGGTGGGGTGCTCAGTGGTCGGGGAGCCAGAGGATGCCTGCTGACATGGGACTCCTGGAGGTGAGTGTAGGCTCCGGCTTCCTGCTCCCTGAGCCCCTCTGCAGGCACCGGGCCCACACTGAGCCGCATGAGCATTGGTTTTCCACTTCATGGTTCTGCGTCTGGCTGGTCAGGACTGTGGCAGGGTTGGCAGCAGGGCTCACTTCTTGGCAGGGAAGGCCTGACTGAGGTGGGCATGTTGCTGCCGTTGTACTTCCTAGTCCAGCTGCTCCTTCCTGGCCACCTGGGAACGGGGCAGAAACGGTCTTAGGCCTCCCCAGAGCTCTGTAACAGGAAGCACTGGGAGGCCACAGTCCATGGTTCCCCCAAGAGGTGACATGCATGGGACTGAAACATCAGCAAACACACAGGGACACGCAGGCTCACCTCATCCGGTACATCCACCCATCCTAGGGACCCACAGTGGACAGACCCCCTTCCATTCAGGCCATGAATGTACTCAGAGTGATAAGGAAATAAGTTCTCCTGAGCTCATAAATTCAGCAGACGTGGCTTGGTGGGTCAGGGACACTAACTTGGGGGTAACACTGGGCAGTCACTTTACCTTTCTGGGTCTCAGTTTCCTTATTCGTAGAATGTAGCTGTCTCTGACAGCTTGGAGCCTGTGGGCCAGCCCTGGCAGGCATGTCTTTGCCGGTGTGTATACATGTGTGTGTACCTGTGTGTGTGTGGGGGGGGCAGCACAGCTACATTTCCAAGGCTCTGTCACACTGTCATCACCTTGTCCCCACATGACACTCTCTCTTCCTGCCTGAAGGACAACTGCCACCTGCCAGGCACAGTCTGGACACTTCGCAGGCCTCGACCTCTGACTGAGGGACTGTCCTCACCACCCCTCCTTACGGGCAGGCAGTAGAGGCAGAGCAGGTGGCAACTGCCCCAGAAACCTGCTCCGCCTCTCAGTGAGCTGGAGCTCCTGGGTGTCAGTGTGGAGAACCCCTGCTGGAGGGGTGTGTTGCAGGACACCGGGCTTTCCCCTCCCCTCCCCTCCCCTCTTCTGCCCTCCACCCGGACCCACCTGCTCCTCCAGCACTTGGGACCCCAGGGCCTGCTTGGCCTCCACAGCCAGGTCTTGCTGGTGCTGGGCAGCCAGCTCCTGGGGCTGCTGGGCTTGGGCCTGTTCCAGCTCCGCTCTCTGGACCTGGGTGAGAACTTAGACACCTCATTGCTGCCCGCTTGCCCTTGAGGCCACTATTCCTTTGTCCAGTCCTCTGTTACCCACTGCCCTCTGGTGGGGGGTGGGCCCCAGTCTAGATCGGCAAGCAGATTTGGGCCTCATCTGAGCTAGAGCCCAGTCCACAGGCCGGCAGGGTGGACCTTACATCTGCTTTAATGGCATCCTGGTTTCTGCTTGTCTGGACTGGGGTTCTGCAGGCGTCATAGGCTGAATGTTGCTGCCTCCCACCTGCTTGTAAATTCCTCGTCTGGGGTGGAGAGTCTGCCCAGTGGTGGAAAGGGAGATCCCCCCCAACACATGCAGGGGAGCTGTGCTCCCCCACACCTCCCTTTTTGGTTTAGGTGCTGGCTCACGAGACACCCGACCGTCCCACCACTCCCAGGTGTGACCCAGCAGACACCCCTGTGCGTGCACACCTGTATGTGTGTCCTGAGTCAGGCAGGGTGGCCCACCCTTCCGGGACCCACACCACCTGGATACCCCCTGTGCTGAGCCCACTCCCAAGGCTGGGGTATGCAGAGCTGCGCCGGCCCTGCTCACCAGTAGGTGCTGGTCCTGCCTCAGGGCCCTGTCCACTTGGAGGTGCAGGCTGCTCAGGGGCTGGTCCAGTGGCTCCTCGGCCCCCCCTGTATCCCCTTCCCTGTTCAGCGTGTCCCTCTCTCTCTGCAAGAGCAGAGCCTGTAGTGGCTGCTGGGGGAGTGTGGCCTGCTCTTCGGGGAGCATGTGGGTACCTCTGGGAAGGGCTCTGGGTCCCATGAGCACTGGCTTGGTGGGGCAGGGCGCTGCCCTGGGCCAGGACCCCGAGCCCCACCCAGGGCCATTGGCATTTGAACGAGGGTGAAACAGAGAAACAGTGTTGGTGGGAAGGTCGGTGGAGCTCCATTTGCCCCTGAGGATGATCCCTTTGGAGGAAGGACCTGACCCCGGACGTGCCTCTTGGGTGCTGCTGGGATGGTCTCTGGCCTGCAGTCCTAGCAGCAGCTGGGCAGCATCAGAGCCCAGGCCCTCTCTCCAAACCAGACCTGTCCACTGCCCACTGTGCCCAGTCCTGCTGCAGCCCCTGTCGGTCCTCCCTTCAGGGTCTGGGCTCTCAGGGGCCTGCTACAGAGGAGCAGCCTCAGGGTGAGACTATGGGGTCAGTGTTCAAAAGCAAGGATTCCTTCTTCTTCAGGACTGAGAAAAACAGCCCCTCCACTGAAAAGGAAGTCCTGTTTCTTTAAAATCCCAGTGACAGTCCTGGCAGTGCATGTGAAACAGAGAAACATGAGGTCCAAAATAAACAAACGGCCACGGCCGGGCTTCCCCTCCTGAGACACCAATAAAGGGTTTATGGGTTTGCGGCCCCTCGCAGCTGACCTCCTGGAACTCATTAGCTGTTCCTCCCCTCCCCCACGGGGCGGTGCCATAGCCGGGCTAATGCTCAGCCCCCCAGGAGCCCCTGGAGTGGCCGTGAGTCCTCCGCTTCCCCAGCTCAGCAGCTCAGCGCTGGCCCACCCTTCAGGAGAAGTGACAGGATCCTGGTGACTGTACCCAGCTGCCGACCCTCCTTCCTGGGCGGGCAGGTGGCCCGGTGTGGACAAGCTGGCCAGTGGTTGTCAGTGCCTGTGCTGGCCTGCTGGTCTCTGTGCCCCCATCCAGACCCCAATCCTATCCCCAGGGTCCCTTCCCCCCACTGACTTGGCCACTTCCCTCGGGAAAACCCTCCTGTCCCTGAGTCCACCTCAGCTGAACAGGACCTGCCTGGGACATGGGACAGATACTTTCCTGGGGGCTCCAGGCCCAGCAGTCCCCTCCCCGCCAAGGCCCCACTGCTCCCTCAGGAGGCGTGTGGTCAGTGTCCACATAGCTGTCACATACACCCTATGACCCGTGGGGACCATGGCTGTTCCTGGTTCTGCCTCTGCTCCTGACACAACTAACTCTTTCCCTCCTGCTTGAGGTGGTGGCAGCCTTCACCTTGTCTCTGGCCCTGACCTTTCCTTTTCTGGTGTTCGCATGCCCCCCTGGCATCTTTCTCCTTCAGAGTCTGAGAGCCCGGAGCACCTGTCTCCTTGCTACTCCTTCCACCAGTGATGCTAAGCCTGGCCTCTGTGGTCCCCCAGGTCCTTATGCCTTTGGGCCACATTGCCCAGACCAGACAAGCCTGCCCCAGCAGGAAGCCAGTCTTTATAGGTCTTGGTGAGCAGGTGACACAGTGACAAGCCCAGGGGTTCACTGGACCCGAGGAGGCCCTTGCAAAGTCTGTGGGGGAGCCAGTTAACATGGCCTCCACCAGCCCTTCTGAGCAGCCCAGCCTGGGACAGCCATGAGTGACAGACACCTGGTTCCCTTTGCATAGGTGAGCCCAGGCTGAATGCCCTTCCTGGAGTCCTGCCTGGGGCCGGTGCTGCAAGGGGAAGGATGACAGGGTGTGGATGTCTGTGCCCAGGTGGCAGCTGTGTGTTCCTGAGCCCCTCCTCTGTCTGTGTCCGCATACCACTCTAGATCCCTGTGCTGGGGGACAGGCAAGACCCTCTGCCTAGACGTGGCCCAGGGGTGCTCACAGAGACTCTCAGCCATGACCTGTCAGGCCCCCAGGGCAGTAGGACACATCCCAAGCCTCACCTGACCCCAGTGAGGGACCCTGGTGAGGGATCCCCTGACCCTCTCCTAGGGACCACTGTCAGAGCCCATACCAGCGGCTGGCATTCAGGCCGCACCACGAGCTCCCCTTGTAGGTGGGAGCCCTTGAGGTGTTGGGAGGCCCTGTGTCCCTCTTCATGCACTGTGCCCCCAATCCCTGCTTCCTGAGCTGCTGCCTCTGAAGTTCCTGGGTAGACAGAGGCTACGTGGACCAGGCTCTCGGGTGGTCCTGGACCAGGGAATCCCTGCGTGTGCTCTCCCTCCTCCGATTTCTGCTCTGTCAGCCGGGCACTGAATGGTGTCTGAACACCTGGACCTCTGTTCATGCCCAGGGGCTGATTCTGTTCATGCCCTTCTGGGGGCCTCACCTGCCGCAGGGGCCCCTGTGCACTCTCGGCCTCCTGGCACCTGTGTTCCAGGCTGGCAACCTGCTCCTCCAGCCGCCGACTCCTCTGGGCCAGGCCCTGGCTGTGCCTCCTGCTCTCATGCAGGGCCCGGTGCAGTGTGTCCAGTTGCTCCTGGGGAGGGAGGCACAGGGTGTCTGCCCAGACCTGCTGCAGGTCGCTGGGATGTGAGGAGGTGAGAGGAGGCCAAGTACACTGCACAACTGGGCCGTCTGAGATGTAGCCGTGGGAACTGGAAAGGAGGCCTTGTGGGCCCAGTGTGGGCAGAGGCTCCACTGGCAGGTTCTGTGCTGTGGCCAGAGTGGCCTCAAGACTCAACCAGTGTCCCTCACCTGCTTCCAGACTTGGAATGAAGACCAGAGTCACCCCAAGTCACGGAGCCTATTGGACTCAGCCCACCCCTCTACCACCTGCTCCCCTGCCCCAGGGCCCTGCCCTCACTGCCCAGAGTCCTGCTCAGCCCTGCAGCCCAACCAGCCTCACTGAGTCCCCCACCGACACCACCCCCACCAGGTCTCTCTCCTGTGACAGCAGCCTTGCCCCCTCACCCCTCTGCTCTGAGCCCTCACAAGGAGAACATGGCCCCTGGGCCCTGAGCCGGCCTGCAGTGGGGCCTGGAGATTTCTGATGAGTTCTATGCAGACTCCATTGTTGGAAACTTGAGGTTGGCTTGTGACCAGCATGGCTTCATGTGGTTGGGACAGTCTCTAGTTTTTGAATTTTCCCCTGTGTTCTGTGTGAGAAGTGGCCAGTATCTCTGGTCCTCTGACTCCGTGGTGGACAGGAGGTGGCTTGGATGTGAGTGGGGGAGTAAACGGACATGACATGGGACTTTGAGCCTGGAGGGGCCGTGCGGGGGAATGAGGACTCCCAGGCATGGGCTGCTGGGTGGTCCAGGACCCACTCACCCAGACGGAAGGCAGGCGGGGAACATATCTGGGGGTGAAGGTTCAGAGTTCAGTCTTGAGGGGTGCCCAGGAGTCACTAAACTCAGGGGCAGTGTTTCAGAACCAGGTGGCTCTGGAGGCCAGAGGAGGGGAGGGTGTCCCGGTAAGAGGGGAGAAGGGGAGCGAAGGGGTCCTGACAAGCAGATGTCCGGACAGAGAGAAAAAGAGATGGTCGAGCAGGGAAGCCCAGAACGTCAGCAGAAATTGGGAGGGAGGTGCCCCAAGGGGTAAAGGAGACACCCAAAAAGGACCCTTTGGGTGGGACCAAGTGTTGCTAGTGACCTTTTCTAGTGTGTGTGTATGTGTGTGTGTGTGTGGTGACAGGCTGAGGGTGTCGGGGAGAGAGGGGCAGGCCTTCTGGAAGCCTGGCTGGGGGAGGGGAGAAAGGGCCAACTGAGGGGGTGAAGTGTGAGGGCAAGAGGAAGCCTGGGCACCGAGCCAGGGAGAGGAGCCTGAAGGTGCAGGCACCCCAGTGGCCCAGGCAAGCTCTAGTTCTCAGGTCCCAGGGTCCCAGTCTCAGCAAACACCCATCCTCCACAGCGACCACAGCAGCCAGGCCCCGGGGCTGTCAGAGGGGCCATGGTCCATCCTTTCACTCTATTCTCACTAAATGCTGGAGCAGACGCTGGCCGCTCACACAGGGGGGCTGCTCGGAGGAGCCGGGAAGTGACTGGAGACGGCAGGGTGACCCTGTACACACTTTTTTGGGGGCTGACACTAGTACTTTGAAAAAGAAAAGGGAGGAGGGCAATGCTTGTCCCTAAAATTGTGACGTTTCACCCTCCCTTGCAATTTTGAAAATTATAATTTTCTGTTTGGACACATTTTCCAGTAGAAAAGCAGAGGTTTCCTTCAAACACAGCTTAAATATCTCATGGTATTTAAAGAGGCCCAGACCGCTTATGTGAAACTGGGCTTCTCTTATAAGGACTCAGTGCCCATGGAATTAAATTCATTGTAATAGCGAATGGAGCCCAACCTGTAGCTCTGACCTGGGAGCCAGGCAGGGAAGAGCCGGGCGTGGGGCAGGGACACGGGGCTCCCCTCGTGCCCTTGGACCAGGCCCCCAGCCTCAGTTTCCCCATCTGTGCATGGGGTGATGCAATCTCACTGGGTTCTTGTTGAGGCCAGGAGAAGGAAGGGAGGGGGCTGTAAGGTGCCACATCCTCTGAGGGCTGTTGTGAAATGAGGGTCTTGTAGAAGGAAGGGTGGAAAATGTCTTGTGCACATACAGGGTGGGGGTCTCATTGCACAGCCTGCTTATGCACAGTGAAGAGCAGAGCATGCCACGACCAGCCAATCCGTCCTCTGGGCCTTGGAGTTCAGGTCCTCAGCCTGACACCTTTCCAGCCCCTGGGTCACAACGGACCCATTCATTGGTTGGCTGGTTCCGCCCTCTGGCCAGTCCCAGGACACAATGGGCCCCCGAATTGCTCAGATATAAGAGACTTGGCGCCAAGTAGTGACAGCTGAACACCTCTGGACTCTACCACCCTGCTGGCCTCTTTGTCCAGCCTGTGCTACCCCTCCTGCTGCCTTAAATCAGTTATAAACATCTTTTCTTCCCCGTAAACTTTGCAATCAGCTTGTTCAGTTTCCTCCAAACATACCACAAACAAATAGACAAAACCAAACCAAGAAAGCAAAGAGCAACCAGCAAACAGCCGACAACCAGGAGCATAAACCCAGATCCCCCCAGAAGCTGACCAAAGGCCCACACTGCCCACGCCACACCCTCTCGCCAGTGAGACCAGATGTGGCGACAAAAGGAGGCACAAACATGGAATTAGTCTTTTGAATTAAAGAAGGAATAAAAACTGAAACTCCTGGAAAATGGGTAAAAAGGAAAATAATTCATATGGAAAAGCCACGGCTCACACAGCAAACCTCAATTAGGGAAAACACGGTTCACAGTGAATTCTCTTACTAGTGACAGACAAAGTCCAAACATAAACACACACTTATTCAATGTCAGAAATCAGGAAAATGACAACCAAAAGAGGATGTTAACAGAGATAAAAGCCGAAATGAGTAAAGTGGACAGAAATAAGAGAAGAGATAAAAGTTGATTCTTTGAAAAGATCAATAAAAGAGATGAACTGTTGACAAGTTGGATGAGGGGAAATAAATAGAATCTCCGACACCCAGCACAGGCACAGATCTAACTGCAGGTATAGCCACACATGTCACTATGACGACAGTAAACACACGTGCACTCAACAATGTAAGGTGGGTGACTGCCACGTGACAAGAAGAGGCGGAGAACTGAAAATGACAGAGATGGAGAGGAAGTTAAAGCCTATGTAAGATGACAGGAGGGCGCAGTTTGCACGCAAATTCAGACTAACCTTTCAAAAAGCTTACCTCTTAGGCTATTTAGATTATTCCAGGTGAGAGAAAAAGATGGAAAGCTCACCAATTCACTAAATCAAGATAAAACATCTCAACACAAAAAAAAGCTGATAAAGACAATACCCTAAGGAGACACAAACACAGACATTCTTGACAAAAGTTAGGAACCAGCTAAAAACATGTGCCCAGGGGTGCCAGGGGCTCCCCAGCTTCGCTTCTAGAACCTGGACTGAGCTCAGGCTGGGCCTGGGGAGTGTTCTCTGGAGAGGTGGGATGTGCGGCAGGGCTCACACAGGGGCACGTGAGAGCCAGTGGGGTCGGACGTGACAAGTCCGGGTGCCAGGAGGACACTGTGAGCCTTGGAGCGGGAGGCTGGGACCTGGCTCTGATGCAGGGTCATGTGGGTGGGTGATGCGAGCTGTGCATCGCTGATCTAGTGAATCCCCAGGGTAGCCCTGGAAACGGGAGGGGTTTGCACTCAAACAAGAATCTTACTGTTTGCACAGCACGGCCTACCATTTAATTAGAAAAATATGTTTTTAATTAACTTTCTCTTGACAAACACATTGGCTTATGTGAAATGGAGAAAAACCCAGGCCGGGAACGTGAACGTTGTCGTGTAGCTTGCAGACCTTGCTCTGGCTCACACCCTCAGTGGCAAACACTGATGCCTGGGTTGGCTGTTTGTCAAAAGGGCCTGGGGCTGCCAGTGATTTAGGTGAGTCTCAATCCCCATCCTATGCCCACTGCAATGGTCAAGAGGTCACAAAATGTGGGAGAACTTCCCTCAGAGCTGGAGACCAGAACTTTGAGGGCTCCTGCAAGATGGAGGATAGACAGAACCAACCAGCCTGAAAATAGGAGAAATGGTAATTGCCAGAATTCTAGAAAAATTTCACATAATACTGAGATTTTAGGACACACACTCCAATAAAAAAAAAATGAGGAAATTATTGATCAAGCAGAAAAATTAACATGGATACAGAATATCTGAAGAACCTCAGAAGACTCCCCAGTTCCTGGGAACCCCGGCTCAGAGCCAGGACTGGAGGGGGCGTCTGACATGGAGGGGAGGCCTCCGGGAATGAGGGTCATGGTGTGTGAAGAACAAGAGGCCTCCAGTCACTATGGCTGTGGCCCCAGAGCAGGGCCCTCGCCCACCCCATTCCTGGAACAGAAAAGCTCTAGTGAGGGCTCGGGACTGCTTTTGCCACCGGCTCCCCATGCCCCATGGCCCCCTCGGCTCCCCTTGGGACCTTTCTCTCTGCCTTTCCTTTGGGCCTGAAGTATCTGGAAGGGTCACACCAAGTCCCCAGGAGATTCCTCTCCACTTCCAACTTTGAGCAAGACCAGACCCCCTTCTTTAAAGACGTGCAGAGGAAAAAAATGATGACGTGCGTAGCAATCAACTGGTTCAAGAGACAAAGCCAATCTGAGGAATCAGATCTGAGGGTCTCAAACTATAGAGAACAAAGTGATTGCAAGAAAAGGGAATCCGTGTTAGAAAAGGTTCAATGATATTCTCAAGGTGAGGCCATGGGGGAGCCGGAGAGTGAACAATTGAGATAGAAACACAAAGGCCGCCTACCTGGCTTGGCTCAGTGTATAAAGGTCAGCCTGTGGCCCAAAGAGTCCCGGGTTTGATGCAAGGGCATGTACCTCGGTTGCAGGCTCCTTCTCAGCCCTGCCCTGGTCGGGGCTCACGCAGGAGGCAACCAATCGATGTGTTTCTCTCACATCGATGTTTCTCTCTGTCTTTCCCTCTCCCATTCTTCCTAAAAATCAGTGGGAAAATATCCTCGGGTGAGGATTAACAAACAACAACAACAACACACACACACAAAGGCCAACACAGGACAGGTCAGCTAAACAGGCAGAAGACCCTGAACTGCTGTGACCTGGAAAGGTGAAGTTCAAGGTCAGGAAGGAAGACAGGCCCAGAGAGCAGTGTTGGGCTGCTGTGAATTTTGGGACAAACTAACAGGGAAGCATGGGGAAGGAGAGATGCTTTTCCAGTGGAAAGAGCCTGTATAAACGGAGGTAGATTGGATTCTGCCTTGTTGGGTTCACCAAGCACAGGCACAAACAATGGAGGAGTCAATGTTTTTGAATTTCAAAGCTAAATGGGCGTTCTGGCTCCCCACTCTGGACACAACACTTCAAATAACCTACAACATTCTCACATTTCTGGAATCCAACCGAGACGGAGGTCAGAGGGCAAGCAACCAGCCTGAGATCGGAGGGAAAAAGCCTCTCTCGGAGAGATGGGGAGAGGGCTGGCTCACCTGAGATAGCTGTGTGCACAAGAGTTCAGCCTACACGTCCAACAAATTCCTAAAATCCGGGGCCGGCAGTTACAGATGGCCTGTGACCTTTGGCCCTGATGTCATCCTCTAATGATTACGTAGCAAAGGGATTTGCAGAGGTAATGAGGGCTAGTAATTAACCAATAGGAGACCACCCAGGCGGGTCTAGTGTCACAGGAGGTCTGATCTTCGGGGATCCGATGAGGGACCATGAGAAGGCCCATGCCAGGACCTGGGAGAAGCCTGTAGAAGTTGCTCCATCCTCAGCCGAGGGCTGGGATACGGGACTTGGTCCCAGAGCCACAGGGAACTGGACCTTGCCACACCCTGAATGAGCTGCCAGGGGATTCTTCCAGCTTCGGGACCAGCCCACCCCAGAGGCTGAGACGTGGGAGAGAACAAGTCACCCACGAGGGATTTTTGGCCTGCAGGACTGGGAGCCCACAAATGGGGTTCCATCGGCCCCTGTGATTGAGAAGGAAGGCACCAGGTGTGGCTGCTGTTGGATAATCCTCTGGGTCTGTCTGCAGACACTGGGGGCTTGAACTCAGGGGCAGGCTTTGCACGAACCCAGCCAGCACTTAGCAGAAAGATAAGGGCAGGTCCCGGGACAGAACTCCTGGGGGAGGCCGGGCATAAGAAGGGGTTCCAACTGCCACCAGCATTCCCTGAGCACAGTGCAACATTGCTACATGCTCATCTCGGTAACACCCGTGTACCCCCAAGACCAGGGAAAGGGACGAGGCCAGCATGTGGGCACTGAGGGAAGGGGAGAGCAAACAACCTACAGTCAAGGGCAGAGAAAAGCAGAGTGAGCACACCACTGTGAGGCTTGTAAGTGGGATAAAGTCTCCTGAAACGGCAAAAGGGCAGAGACTCAGGTGGAGTTGAAACAGATTCCTGGCTGAGGGACGGTGGGGCAGGAAGGGCAGGAGTGCCTCTGGGACGGGTGGGCTGTGCCCCATCAGGTGGAGTGGAATTTAGGACAGAACGGTTACGGGCAGAGGCCTCCAGATCTGGAAAAGCTGGAGCAGCGAGAAAGGTGGAATTCTGAAGAGCATGCCGTAAAAATCCACAAATCAAAGACTCTTGGAATAAAGGAGACGTTGCCAAAAGAAAAAAAATCACAGTGGGAAAATTTAACGTATCACTCTCAGCCTGGATAAATTCGGGAGACAGATCCAGTGAGGAGTGTTGTATTTGTAACGGTTGATTTAATAGGTATAGTTCAACTTATTTTCAAACTAGAGGCCTGATGCACGAAATTCGTGCAAGAGTAGGCCTTCCTTCCCCAGGCTGTTGACACCAGCTTCCCTCTGGCACCCAGGACCCGGGCTTCCCTCTGGCTGCCAGCAGGCACCCGGGACCCGGGCTTCCCTTGAAGCCCTGGCTTCCTCCAGAAGATCGTCCAGAAGGACAATTAGCATATTACACTTTTATTATTATAGATGTGCATGGGACACATACATGTGAACATATGTGTAAAACGGAACATAGTCCCACCCTACCTCTCCTGGTTTTTCAGACTCTCACACCTCACAAGTCCTGCTACCACTCAGCTAGGCACCTGGGCCCTGGGATGACCCGCCCCCCATCACCACAGCAGCTTCAGCTGGAGGGGTCTTGAAACAGAAACTACATTTTGTCTTACAAATCTTTTCTGGGCTGAGCTCCTCCGTGCTTTCTCTGGCCCCTCCCCTGCAGGACCATCCCTGTCCTCCCTCACCCATCCATCCAGGGCGCTTGGAGAGGGGTGATGTGCAGCTAGTGGCACTTGTGGGGCTGAGAGCCTGTGTCCTGCCCCATGAATCCCTTCTGCTCTGCTGCCCGCAGCCACCTCAACTTCTCAGGGTGAGGCCCGAGACCCTGGTCCCCCAGGGTCTCCCAAGGGCCAGTGCTCCACTCCAAGCACACTGTCCCCCATGCCCCTGAAGTCCTCAAGGAGCCTCAGCTTTCCGGGGCCGAGCAGTGAGGGGGAAGCCGGCCCCCATCACCCAGGCCGGCCCTCTCTGGGCCCAGATTCCTCACCTGGAAACTGCAGACCACCAGCCACCTTCACAGCACAGAGCCCACATGGGGTCATTTACTGAGTCCATCCTGTGCAGCCTGCTTTGTGTGTGAGTGACATGGGGTAAAAACCGCCCCACAGGCCCTGGATGAGCTGCTTGGTTGGTTGGAGGGTCAACCCATATACCAAAAGGTTTTGGGTTTGATTCTGGGTCAGGGCACATACCTAGGCTGGGGGTTCAATCCATGGTCGGGGTGTGCACAGGAGGCAACAGATTGATGTTTCTCTCTCACATCCATATCCCTCCTTCTCTCTCTCTCTCTCTCTCTCTCTCTCTCTCTCTCTCTCTCTCTCAAAATCAATAAAACATCCTTGGATGAAGATAAAAAAAAAAGTCCCGTAACAGCATAGACCTGACCCCATAGAGAGAGAGCACCGAGGCGGGGCCCGCTATGCCTGCTGGTGTGGTCACAGAAAGAGGCCGGGTCTGCCCTGGTCTGCCTCTGGCTGGCTCTGCCACCTAGGCCAACTCACTCTCTGCCCAGGACTCAGTTTCCCCAATCTGTAAAATAAGGGTTAGGACCACCTCAAATACAGCTCTTCAGGGACAGCCCTGATAAGCTCTGTGGGAACCCAGTGCCCCTGAGGCCACCTGCCCACAGGGACCTGAAACCTCCCCTCCCCAGCAGCCCTTTCAGCCTCCCCCTTCCCCTCCCGGCCCTGGGGTGTGGGGTCCCCACCTGGAGCCGCCTCTTCTCCTGTCCTGCTGTCCGCACACTCGCCAGGTACTCCCCCTCCAGCCTCTGAAGCACCTCCTTCTGCAGGGCCCTGGTGGCCTGGGCACTGCCCACTTCCCTCTCTGCCTGGCGCCAGCCTGTGGGGCAAGCAGGGTGGCTTGCCTGGTTCCCAAGGTCTAGGGACTCCCATACGGGGGATCGCCCCTCCCATCTCAGAGGCTGGGAAACTGAGGCCCGGGAGTTTTAGTGACTGGCATCTAGACGGTGGGGGCTGAGAGGCTCCCCTCTGACAACCTTGCTCCTCCCTCAAAGCTCAAGGCCTGGACCCCAGGCCCCTCCCCAGCCCACCCTTCTCTCAGGCCTTTCCTTCCAGACATTCAGGCCCTGGGCCTGGCTCCCTGGGTGACCCACTAATGGGGTGAGGGACAGAAATGCAGTGGGGTGACCAGCAGGGCAGGGGCCTCTCTGAGGGCAGAGACCCAATGGGGGGATGGGCCTTGTGACTGGGAGGAAGGCTCCAACTTTGGGCACAGCCAGTGCAGAAGCCCAGGTGGGAAGAGAATGCCATGGAGGGAGGAGGCCTCTCAGAGTCTCAGGAAGTCTGTCCCCCAGAGCAGGGGGGTGCTGGTTTGGTGTTACCCCATGGCCCAAGCCTGAGCTGTTCCCAGGACTGCACACTGGAGGCCAGGAGTGGGTGTTCTGGGGGACCCCCAGGAGCAGGTGGGGAAGGGAGGTCACCTTCCTCCGCCTGGGCCAGCGCTGTCTTCAGCAGCCGCACGTGGCTTTGGGCTCGGGCACGCTCCCTCTCCACCTCTCTCAGCCAGCTGCTCAGGTGGCGAACCTGGGCGCGCCAGTTGTCCTGGGAGAAGGTCAAAGGTCAGCAGGCAGGGCTGCGGGGAGTGGGGAGCTAGAGGTTTTGGGGGTCTGGTGGGCATTATAGAGGCACTCAGGACAGGCCCTGGGGAGGACTTGGAGGCGCTGTGCCTGCATGTCTAGGTTTGGGGTATGCACGTAGAGTGGGGGAATAGGTCATGCCATGACTATCAGTCTTTCCCATAGCTCCTCCCACCTGGTAGGTTAGGAGGGGCATCCCCGGGGTGGCAAGATGGGGAGCCCATGTGAGTAGCTGCTGGGAGCTTGGTCCCGTGTGAGAGGTCACGGGGGACACTCTGCAGGTGATGTGGCCAGCCCCTGGGATGGTTCTTCAGGAGACAGGCATGGGGATGGTGACGCCCTTGCCCTGGACCCAGGTGGACAGCACACAGAGAGTGGCCCCTCCTGTCTCTCGGAGCCTTCAGGGCAGGTCCTCTCTGCCCCTTTTTACCCGCTCCTGCTGGGCATCCCGCAGCTTCTGCATGAAGTCCCTCAGGGCGTCCTGCACAGAGGCCACGTCCATGTCTGGGCCCTGCTGTCCTGGTGCGGGTGAAGGCCATCGAAGTGGTGAGCGGGACCTGGCAGGGGGGCTGGCACTGTGCCGCCCAGAGCGACCCTGAGAACCGTCCAAACCTGTAGGACAGTGAGGTCTGAGGGGACGGGCTCAGTGGCACATGGATGCCCTGTCTCCCTTTCTCTCTGTTGTCCCCACCCACAGGGAGCCGGGGATGGGGCACAGGGTCCAGGCCCTTATGGTGCAGAGTGTGAGGCCCAGGGAGGGGTGGGGGTGGCCCAGGTAGGTGGTGGAGCTGGGAGAGGAGCCCCCTGCAGCCACCAAAGACACTGACCTTTGGTGGGGGAGCCGGGCCGTTTAGGGGAGGCAGAGGGGCTCTGTGCTCGGAGCCCCAGCTCGCAGCAGAGTATGGACCAAAGCCGGCCCAGCTGGCCCTCTGCATCCCGCCTGGCACCCTCTGCCCGGGCCAGCTCCTGCTCCAGGCTATGGGCGCGGTGGCAGGCCCTGTCCAGGCGAGCCTGGAGGCTGTCAGTCACACTGCTGGCCTGCTGCAGCTTCATGGTGGCTCCGTGCAGCTCAGCCCGGAGGCTCTGTTCAGCCCTGCGGCTCTCACAGAGCCGCTCCTTCACTTCCGCCAGCTTCTGCTGCAGCCTCAGGACCTGTGGCAGGGCCGTGGGGGCTCAGATGGAGGTTGGATACTAAGGGACCTCTGAAGACTGGGTCTTTCGCCCCAGCCCCTCTTTGGCATATCACAGCTGGAGGGACCAAGGACCTGCCTCACAGCCCATGTTTGGCAGGGGAGACACCTGAGCCCGGGTCGGGAAGGGCACCCCAGGACCACGGAGTACATTTGGGCAGGCAGCAGAGAGCCCCCTGCAGCCTCATGAAAACCTGGGCCAGACAGGGCCGTGGCCCAGGCTGCACCTCCTGCGGCCAGCCCTTGCTTGTCTGCCTGCTCAGGGCCTGTGGTAGCAAAGGCTGTGTCAGCATCACCTGAGACCAGGGCTGGGGAACCTCAGGGTGCCAGACGCCCCACCACAGACTTCCAAATGGATAAGACCAGGGAAAAATAGAATGTCGTCCACCCCACACACAGTGCACAGAGGCTGAGGGGGCAGGGAGGCGCTGGGTGGCTTCCCTGGGCTCCTCTGGCTGGGCCTCCCTTGCTCCCTCTCTCTTCACTTCAGCCCCTGGCAGCCCCTCTCCACACTGTCCTTGCTGGGCCACCTTCCCCTTCCTTCTTTGGGCAGCCCAGCCCCGGTGAGAGGGGCTCTCCCTGACCCTGCTGTCCTTCTGCTGCTGTCCATCGCCCTGCTCCCAATTAGGCCACTTGTTTGCTGCTGCAGATCCTGGTCATGGCCTGTGTCCCCAGTTCTCCATTCTCACAAGGTGAGTGAATAGGGCAATAAACAGGGACACCCCCCCTGACCCCCCTGCTCGGAATGTGCACAGGTTGTGGGGAGGCAGCCAGGCCCCAGCTCCAGGCTATGTAGCCCCTGCCAGACTGTAACCCCCCGGGTAGGAGGCCTGGCGCCAGTGCAGGTGGGCCTCATCTCATCTCCCTCCCTGGGTGGCCGCAGTATAACGACCCCATTCACAGATGGAGGTGAGGGGCTGTGAGGTGACACAGGGGTCACATGGGCCATGGGAAGTAAACCATGTTTCTGGGTATGGTGGGTACGTGAGAATAGCCACTCTGCACATGACTTTGGGTCTGAACCCGGGAGCCCCACACAGGCCGAGGCCCAGGGAGACCTTCTCAGGCTGTGTGTGGGGGGTCCGAGGCCACCTGGCCGTGGCAGCACAGCCCGGCAGCAAACAGAACCTGAGGGGCGGTGCCTGGGACTGAACAGAGGGTCTTTCAAGCTGGTGTGGGGCTGTGTGAGCTGGTGGGGGGAGCTCACGGCAGAGTGAATGTGGTAGGGTGTGGGGACATGTGTGCAGGCGTTTGGGGAGAGCTCATGGGAGAGTGTGTGCCTGTGTGTGCAGGTGTTGGGGCGTGGGACACGTGTGCAGGCCTGGGTGGAGGTGTGAGCTCAGAGACCTGAAGCTCTTGAGAGCTGGTCTTTTCTGGGTCCCCCTGCCTGTCTGCAGGCTCAGAACTCTCTTTGCCTGGGGGAGACTCTGTCCTTGACTAAAATGTGATGAAACGAGGGTGAGAGCAAGGCCTGGGCGACCCCGGCCCTCTGCCTCCCCTTCTGGGCCCCTCAGCCCTCTACCTCCTTCTGGGCGTCTTCCCGGGCAGCGTCCACCTCAGCCGCCTGCCTCTGCAGCTCCAGGACCTCTCGCCAGCTCTGCCGCCGCTGCGAGTCCTGTGCACACTGGGCCTGCAGCTGGCACACCTCTTGGCTTTTCCTCTGGTTCTCAGTCTCCAGCGTCTTCACCTGGGGGATGGGGACGGAACTGATGGGGGCCCACGTCCCCTCATAGGAGCTCAGGCAGCCTCCTGCACCCCTGCCTCTGCTCACATGTCCTGGGAAAAAGCCTCCCTCCCGGGCATCTCCCCACATCCGGGACGCTCAGGCCAAGTCCAGCTCTGGACAGGGGTCTGTGCAGTACCCTCAGACCTTCACCCTCAGCCACTCCACAGACACCTGGCACCTCCACCCTGGGGCCAGGACCCGGTGGAGCGCAGAGCTCAGAGCTCAACATCAGCCTTGGTGGCCCAGCTTACCACCAGCATCAGCCACTGGACATGTGAGAGGAGGTGCCTCCAGGAGACCCAGTCCCTGCTGTGGAGGCTTCCCCGAGGGTGCCTGTGCTGTGGGGCAGAGCCAAGCTCCCGTCTGCCCTCAGGCTGGATTTCTGACCCTCAGGGCTCATGAGCCTCAGAAGGTTGTTTTAGGCCATTAGGTTTGAGGTTTGTCACCTGAGCCCCATAGGGCAGACCCACCCAGGAACCCTGTGAGTCTGAGCAGGGCCCTTCTGCTGGTGGCTCCAAGGGCACAAGGCACCTGGGTGCCCTGGTGGGAGGGCCCCAAGGTGGGGGAAGAGGGAGGGCGGCGTGTGTGAGGCTCCAGAGAGCTTGGTCACCTGACTGCGGAGCTCCTGGAGCTCCCGGCGGGTGTCTAACTGGGCCTGCTCTGCCTCCTGCAGGCTGGCCCTCAGCTTGCCAGCCTCCTTCTGGGCTGCGGCTCGGGCCTCCTCCAGGACCAGCACCTTTTGCTCCTTTTCTTCCTTGGACCGCTGAAAACTGAGCAGAGCGTCATTGGCTGGGGCTGGGGGAGCCACCTGGGGGCTCTGGCGTCTCCCATGGTTACCGTTCAGGCTGCCCTGCAGGCTGTTCACCTCACTCTATTGAGATATGCCTAAGGCGTCCCAAAGCCCAGCCTCCTTGGGGCTGCCTGTCACCTTTGGGCAGTGGGTTTGAGTGCCCAGCTGTCCTGGCCCCTCTCTATGTCTCCAGCTCCTCTCACCACTACTCCCCTCCCTCCAGCCCCGGCCATTTCCCACTGGCCACTGGGGCCCGTCTTTCCTGCCGGAGGGGAACTCCCTGAGGGCAGGGACGGGTCTGTGTGTCCAGGACTCCCCCTCATGGCCAACAGTCATCATTCTGGATGGGTAGTCGGCATCCTGGATCTGCCGGGTATATCCCCCACCATCATCTGGCCCAGCTTAGTAGGAAACCCCTTTCCTACCACGGCCAGGGGTGGGGGTGGGGGGGTAGAGAGCTTTGGGGCGAGGGGGACTCCCACAGCCAGTCCATGGTGGAGCCGTACCTGGCCTTTTCCTGCTCTGCCTTGCGCACTGCGGCCCGCAGCTCGGCGTTGGAGCGCTGCAGCACGTCCTTCTCGAGGGCCTCGTCCCCCAGTGCACGGTGGGCATCCTCGACCTCCCTGCGCAGCCCCTCGAGGCTGTCCTCACTGCTCTGCAGCTCCCTGCGAAGCACAGCCAGCCCCTCCTGGGCCTCCCCCAGCTGTGCCCACAGCTGCTCGGCCTGGAGAAGGAGCGTGCAGTTCTAGGGGCCATGGGCCAGCCCGGGTGGGGGGTCAGGAGCTATGGGTCCAGCAGGCAGAGCTGCTGCTCTAGGGACAGCCACAGGCAGCACACAGCCTGGGGCTCTGGTCTGCAGTGCTCGTGTCCTGCTGGCCTCCTCTCCCAAGTGCTTGCAGAAGCAGACAGCCTGGTTCTGCCAACCCGTGGTTGCAGGGTGACTCCCCAGGGCCAGTCCCAGAGCCCAGGCAGGTGACACCCTGACTTCTCCTCGTTCTGGTCCTGTCCTGTGCTCCCTCCCTGGACCCCAGGGTTGATGGATACTCCGTGCATGGGACACGGCTCTGCCCACCCATCAGCACTGTCCCCATGGCGTGGCACCCAGGGTCACTGTCTGCCCCGGCATGGGCAGCAGTGTCAATGCCGAGGCTCCTGACCCCTGCGGCTCCGGGCCCCTGTTGGAACCGGAGGCAGTGGGAGGCGGGTCTCTGGTATCCTTGGAATCCTCCGTTGGCACCAGGGCCACTGGGCCAGGCTGTCCAGCTGCTCGGGCAGGGAGTTCTCGCTGTGCTCTGCATGGAGTGCTCCAGTGTGAGCCTCCTAAACTCGAGGTGGGCCGTCGAGGCCCATGGTAGGAGATTCCCACGTCCAGTCCGCACCTCAGGGAGCTGACCCAGGGAGGGGCAGAGGCTGCAGGTGGGACACCCACCACCTGGAACCAGGACCTGTGTTCTCTCCTGCACCAGGCCCTACACCGGGGGCTTCTAGGCAGAGCCTGCTGACACCAAAGTGTGGGTGGGGGTCGGGGCCCTACTCACCTTGGGGCACAAAGGCCCTGGGCTCAGCCCTGCTAGGAGGGTCTGGGGGAGAGTGAGGCCTGGGGAAGGGGCAGCCCAGCCTTCAATGCCCGGGCTGTGGGGTGTGGGGTTCTGCCAGGGCACCTGGTCTTTTGCCTCCTGAGCTGGCTGTGGCCCTAACCAGGACACTCTGCAGAAAGCTCTGTTCCAATTCGCATGTCCCCCAGGAGGAGACAGAGGAAGCTGGCGGGGACATGCCAGGGAGGGGAAGCCGCAGGAACTCTGGGCCATGTCAAGAAGCCCGTTTGCCAAGAGCAAACTCCACTTTGCTGGCTGCTTCTATGGGACACTGTCCAGGCCCCGGCCGGCCTGGCTCCTGCACCGGCCTGCTGTTATTGTTGTTCTGTTTTTGGGAAGGGCCTGAGCCCCCCCTCCGCTCCCCTCCCACCCCCCACATGTGGGAGCCACAAGTTGTGTAGAGCATTTTCCGCTGAGCTCAGCAGAAATCCGCCCAGAAGGTCAAGGACCAGCAAAAGGGCCTATCCATCACAAAAGAAGCTGTTTTCATTTCCCAGGACAAGGAGATGAAAACAAGCAAAACAAATGCAGGGCCCCTCCCCCGCACCTCCACCCACCTCCCTCTGTCTCCCGAGAACAACCATCCCTTTTACAGGAATTTTACAGCCAAATCGCTTAATGTGATTATAATAATTATTTCTTTACTAAAAATTGTATAAACAGCCTCTTTTGAAATCTCCTGCAGGGAGGTGGTCGAGAGCTCTGCAAAGAGGAGGGAGGGGAGTTGAGGGCCCTGGCCTGCATGTGGCATGTTCATTTGTGCACACATGGCAACACACATGTGTGATTGGTGTGCACATGTGTGTGCATGCAGCATGGTGACTGTGTGGTTGTGCAACTGCAAACATGTATCTATGTGTGAGCACACATGGCATTATGTATGAGCATGCAAGTATGTATGGAAGTGCATGTGCTCCTGTTGGATATACTAGTGTGTGTGTACTTCATGGTGTTCACATGTGTTTACATGTGCATTGTGCCCACACATGAGTGCATGTGTGTGCATGCATGTATGCAATGCCACTTTTTGTGTACACGTGTGTGCATGCAGGTATGGGGTGTGCATGCGTGTGAGCCATGCAGTGGGTTCATGTGTGTGCATGTACACACACATGTGTGGACTCGGTCAGGGCTGCCAGAGGCCTGGATGTGCCTTCAGTTTAAGGACTGTGAAAATGTTATGGTTTCCATGGCGACCCTGGCCAGCCTGGCGCCTGTGAGGGCGCTTCCATGCTCCTCTTTCCCCTTCACCCTCCAGGCTCCCTGTCCGTCCCCCCACTCCCTTTCTGGAGGCCCCTCTCCAAGAACCTGAACTTGTACATCTCCCAGCTCCTCCCACTGCTGCCCCCAGTTTTAAAACCTCATTTTGTTTCCCCGTGTGGTCGCTGACCGGCCTGACTTTGAAATCTGTTGAAAGGAGACCTTTCTCTTTGGGGGCCAAAGTAAACAGCCTGTCATGTTAAATCACGCTCTCTTCCTCCGTCCACCCAGCCTTCCCTGGTGCTGGGGGAGGGCGAGCCCCTCCTCCCCCCGCCGAGCCTCCAGGCTAGTGCATGAGCACGGTCAGCGCCGCCTACCAGCCTTGGCACACTGCCCAGGGAGCACGAGCGCTAGAGCCGCTCGTCCCTGCCTGCCGGCCCTACCTGGGCGCCAGCTTACCCTCCCCCAGCCCCAATCCCGTGTCCTCCTGCCCTCCCCTCTCCCAGGCGCCCGAGTGCTGTCAAACCTACCTCAGGAACACCTCCCCAAGCTGCCTGCCTGCCGAGCTCCACCCGGCCTCGCTGGGGCCTTTCCTGCTCACTTTGCCCAAGACTGTCCCCACCCAGGACACCATCACAGGGCTCTGGGGCCATGTCAGGCCCAGGCAGGGCCACCCTGCACCTCTGCTGCCTCTCTGCTCCAGGAGACCCCAGGGTGGCCTCACCCCACCCAGGCTCAGCTCCGTGGGGTCCATGCCTCACGCTGCTCACCGGGGATCTTCCCACAGCGTGTTGGATGGATGGGCCTCTAGGCTAATGGCCCAATCCCCTCTCCCCACCCCTCAGATCACACCTGCCTTCTCTCCCCTCTCCTTGTACTCCCCTCTCTCACCCCTCCTGGCACCTCCCTCTCTCCCCTTGGGGCACCCCCTCACCTCTCTGCCCGCATTGCTCCGCTCTGCCGCCATCTTCCGGAGACTGTGGCTCAAAGCCGAGGTCTCTCTCTGATGGGCCGAGATGGCCTCCTCAAACTGGGCCTGCAGGGCCTTCAGCTCCGCCTCTGTGGCTCTGACTGTGGCCTGGGGGGAGCAGTAAGCCACTGAGGCATCAAGGGGCCGCCCATGGCGGGTGGGGGCCACACGGGCAGCCACACAAAGTCCTGGGACCAGATGGGCAGCTCGCTTCGGCAGCACAAGGCAGGTGGGGACCAGAGCAGGGACTGGGGCTCCACGGGATGGTTCTTGTCCTGGCTACAGCCAGTGCCACCAATGCCAGGTCCAGAGTGGACACAGTGGTGAAGGGTGGGGGCAGAGGCCCCAAGGGGCATCCCTAAGGGAAGGGGCTGACCCATTCCTTGTCCCCTGGGCCTTTCCTCTGGGATCCCCAGGCTGCCAGGGCAGGGCTCTCCAGTGCCGACCTCTTTCCTGCCTAAATCATTGCTATTAGGCCCACTTTGCTGAATAGTGAGTAGCCAGGAATGGCCACTTGGCAAACGAAAAGAGACCCTGCCCTCAGGTGACACTGGACTTGGGCTCCTGCAGCCAGGCGGGGGCTGGCATTTGCACCAGGAGCTGAGCCTCTGCCCTCTTGGGTTTGTGGGGCACAGGAGGAGCACCCCTCAGCCTGTGGCCCTTGGCCTGGGGTGTCCCAGGGAAGGTGCCTCCAGGGTCCCACCATCAGTGTAGGGCAAGAAGGCTGGACCCCCCAGCAGACACGGCAGTGGCTGGAGGAGAGGAGAGCGGCCCTATCCCTGAGTGCAGGTGACCACAGGAACCCCTCCATCAGCCGGAACTTTCAAACAGGCAGGTGGGATTAAGTGACACTCCCAGTCCTCCCAGGGCCGTTCCTGCAGGGACCACAGGCCATGCTCAGGCGGCCAGACATCCGTTCAGAACTCAGCCCGGCCAAATGTGCTTTTCTTAGGCCACAGCACCCAAGATGCTCCTCCCTGGCTCCTCCCTGGGCACTGGGAGGAGGCACCTCCTTGTCCAAGAGCAAGGATGTCACCTGCTCACCTGTGCCCCAGGCCCACCCAGCCCAGCCTCTGTACTGGGACCCAGGGTAGTTTGAGGGTTTCCTTAGCAGGCTTCCTTCTCCCAGGAGGCACAGGAGCCCCTTCGGCTGCCCTGAACCCGTCTCTGGGACACACACTCCATGCCCCACTCCCCCGCTCAGGGCACTGGTGGGCTGGGCTCTATCAGCTCCTGCCTCCTGCTCTTTTTTTGTTATTGTTGTTAATCCTCACCTGAGGATATCTTTTCCCATTGCTAAAAAGAGGGAACAGAAGGGAGGGGGGAGAAGGGGAGAGAGAGAGAGAGAGACTTTCCAATTGGTTATCTCTTGCACGCATCCCTACTGGGGACTGTGAGCTGGGGAACAACCCTGCAACCCAGGTACGTGCCCTTGACCGGGAATTGAACCAGCAACCCCCGATCTGTGGACCGACACTCTACCACTGAGCCAAACCGGCCAGGGCTCGTGCCTTCTGCTCTTGGTGAGGGAGCCTCCTCTGTCTCCATGAGCCCCTCCACCCTCGTTGGGCTTGTTCTTACATCGCCTGCAACTGGTGTTCCTTGGCTGGCCTTTCTCTCTCCCTCCTCTCTCAGTGGGTTTTCATTTTCATTTTCCAAGCTAAGGTGGCAAAAGAACCCTTAATGAGCTCCCTGAAGAACCCGCTGGCTGGCAGGCCATCCAAGGGGACACTCAGCCAGAGTGAGGGAGGCCCCCCTGAGAGCTGGGGGAGTTCCCAGGGTCTGGGCGGGGCGGCTTTCTTAGTTTCCTGCTGCCTGAGAGGGTTTGAAGGAGCATCTGCGGGGGGGGGGGGGGGGGGGGGGCATGGGCAGGAAGGAGGACACAATTCCAGGGCCCCCCACTCCCCTCTTGGCTGTGCACATGGAAGGGCCATCTGCTAGGGGGTGGGACAGAGCCTGACAGGGATCCAGGGAGCAAGGATCTTGGGCAAGGCTCCCCTGAGTGCTGGTGCCTCAGTGCTGGGAGTTCCTCCCCAGCTCTGCTCAGAGTGACTGGGATCTGGGTGCCCGGCAGGCAGGAGGGGACAGAGACACCCTGGCAACCAACTTCTAAGTGCAGCCCCTTGTCCACCGCACAGCCCCCTGCCCCCTGTCCATAGGTCACAGTGAACTTCATGGCTTCCCAGCCAGGCCTTCCCACCCCTGCAGCTCAGGAAGGAAGCTCCGGGCTTGGCAGAGCAGTCCACACTCGTCCACACACTCATTCACGGACTCCTGAATCATTCACTCAAGGCCAGGGAGCATATGACTGTGCCCTTGGGACGAGGACATGCCAGGGACCAGGGTGAACAGGGATCACCGAGGTTAAAAGTGAAAGAGCAGCACTGGACAGGAAAGGTGACCGGGGCTGGAGGGACAAAGGCAGAGCAGAGGGGACAGAGCTGGCCCCGTGAGGCTGTGTGGGTGTGGCTAGAGGTGGGGCTGTGTCCCCCTCTGTCCTGGAGGGTACCTGCAGCCTGTGTCTGCTCAGGGCCAGCCCCCAGGACAGCTGTCTGACCCCAACTGCAGGCAGTGCAGTCCTCCTGTGAGTGGGCTGTTGCCTCCGCATTGCCCACTTCACAAATGGCTGAGGCCACCCTGCCAGCAATGGCAGTGGGTGCCCAGTCCCATTCATGGGGTGAGGACACAGGGCCCCATAATTGCTGCCCCTCCCCTCTCCAGAGTCCTAATTGCTGCTGCCTGGCCTGCCCTAGACATGGGTCCTGAAGAGGAGTCAGGGGCCCAGGCAACCTCAGCTGCAGCCTGCAGCAGTCTCCATGCATTTGTGGGCCTCTGTTCCCTGGTCGAGGGCAGGTAGCTGCCTCCTGGGGTCTCTCCCGGCCCATGGTGGCTGCCTCACTTCAGGCTCTATGGGATTTTCCGTGCGTGTCCTTCCTCTGGTTTGGTTTCTTCTTTGAAAGGGGTCCCTCCAGCGAGTCAGATTTCCTGCAGTTATGTTCAAGTGCCCAGACAGGCAAGGCTGGGGGCCAGTGGATTGGGGGCATAGTCCTGGGTTCTGCCCACTCTGATGCTGGCTCATGTGGAGTCCCTGGTGCCTTCTGTGGGGGCAGGGACTACCTTCCTCAGCCTTTCCTTCCCATCAAGACAATGTTCCCTCCCAGCAAGAAGCCTAGAGATACCCAAGAGAAACTGAGGCTCAGAGGGGGGCTGAGGGGGAGTGTATACCTGGGACGAGGTGGGAAGGGGTGCATCTGGGGCTCTGCCAGCGCCTCCCGGGCACTGCAGGGGCCAGGCCAGTGCCTGGGTTCTGGCTGATGGGGGCACACAGGGCTCACCTCTGCTTGCTCCTGCTGGCCGTGGGCCTCCTGCTGCACCTGCTTCAGCTCCCGAGTGGCCCGGGAGAGCTCCTGCTGCAGCAGGCTCCTTTCTGCTTCTTTCAGAGACAGGGCCTGGTGTGACAGCGGGTTACTGGGTGCTGAAGCCCTTGGTGGGACACAGCATGTTCCTGGTTCCACATCCCTGCTCTGGAGGGGGCAGTACCCCAGAGACAGCGACGTCTGGGGGGTGGGGGGTGGGAGCCTGTTGTCCTATATGACATGGTCCATCCTTCGTGCCTGCACTCAGGCAGTCCCTCCCACCCCACCAGGTGCACCACCTCCCCTCCCTCCCCCCCCCCCCCCGCCCGCCGTGCACCTGTCTAATACCTGCTCCTTCCCAGCACAGCTCAGGGGCTTCACAGAACCCTTCTCCCTGGAGTCCCCCAACCCCTCCAGACACCACTTCCTACAGAGCACAGAGTGGGGACCACTAATGATTCTGAACCTCTGAAAATGCTGTGTCACTAAGGGTGAGGGGTGCAGGTGAGCGCCCCCCACAGGGCTGCAGAAGGTAGAAGGAATTTGTCAATGACCATCAAAGTCACAGGTGCATGGGTCTCTGGAGGCCCAGGCCCACTGGGGCAGGTGGCCTGGAGACCTGCCTGTACATGTGTGGGATGACCTGCTCAGGGTCACTGATTATTGTTCATTATATCATTCATAACAGCAACAAACTGGAAATAAACCAGATGTCTGCCGATGGGGGGGCCAACAAAACAGTCGTGATACAAGCATCTGAGGACCTCACGAGGCTATGAGGAGGATAAGCAAATCCTGAGCATACGATGTGGAAAGACTCCTAACATAGATTGACCTGAAAATGCGTGTACTTGTCGTGTTACAGAGGCGGGATAGCCATGTGTATTTCTATTTGCTCTTCTGTGCACAGCGATCTCTGGGAGGCTCTTTCATAATAAGATTTGGTCTGTTTTTTGTCCTGGGAGGAGCCTCTAAACCCTTGGAATTCACCAAGAGAGGAGCGTCTTTGTTATTCCTGGGCCCTAGGACCGCACCTGATTTACTCTAAGGGGTGACTCATGGCTGCCTGACATAGTTTGGGGAGGGGGTGGCCATGCCCCACCAGTCATGGATTAGAACACTGGGACTGTGAGCCACTGAGATCTCCCAGCCTCGGGGAAGGTGTGGGGACTGAGTTTCATCATGTGGCCAGTGATTCTGTCAATCACACCTATAGGAGGACCCCAGTGAAAACCCTAGACCACCCTGATATGCCAGAGGGTGATGCGCCTGATTCCAGGGGAGAGACCTCATCCCACATGTCTGTTCATTGGAGTGGTCCTGATTTATGTCCTTTAAATAACTCTGTAATCATAAGTGTAGCACTTTCTTGAGTTCTCTAGATGATTCTGGAGAATCATTGAACTCAGGGCTTCTGCACAGTCCTTTGCGCCATCCCCAGACATTCCCCAAATTCCCTTCCCTCCCTACCCAACCACCTCCTGCTCCTCCTTTACAGTCTCACTCTCCCTCCCCCAATGCCACCACAGCTACAAAGCCTTTTCTTCCTCCTCCTCAGGAAGCGGAGGGTGGAACAGCTATGAGCACAGACCCCAGTGTGCTGTGCAAGCTGGGGCAAGGTGGTCACCATGTGTGAACCTTACTTTTCTCACCAATAAAATGGGGCTAATAAGAGCATGTACCTAAGCATGTTGAGAGAAGCAAGTTAAAAATGCATGGAGTCTGACAATAAACCTTGGTGACTCCTGCTACTGGAACCCATCCCCTGTGGTTTGTAATTTGTGCCAACACCTGAGAGTTCTATCACTTTATGTGACAACACATGTGAATACGTTTACTTGTCCTCCCATTCACTGGACAGTGAATACTTCACGGTGTCACAGTAAAATGAAGAGCCTGGACTCAGAAGGTAACTTTTACATGTCCAGTGTCTGAATCTCAATAGCCGGGGGATGGAAGGATAGTCAGAAGAGTAGTTGGATACATGGATGGATGAATGGCTGGCTAATCAGATAGATGGATGTATAGTCGGATGAATGGTGGATATGAATGGACAGCTGAGTGTGTGGACAGAGAGAAGGCTGTTTAAATGAAGAAATAGATGGATGGTCAAGTGAGTGGTTGGATAGGTGGATGGTCAGATGAGTGGATGGATGGATAGTCATGTTGATGGAAGATTGGGTACATGAATAGCTGGATGGATGTTCAAGCAAATTGGTGAATTGATGAACAGTGATGTGTGTGAATAGACAATTGAGTATGTGGAGAGATCGCCATGTACGTGGGTGGACAGCTGGGTGTGTGGATAGAAGAATGGAGTCAGGTGAATGAATGGTTAATGGACAAGAAGTTGAGGGACAGTTGAGTTGCATGGATGTATGGACAGATAGATACATGAGCAGATGGATGAATGGATGGATAGACAGATGAAAGGATGGATAGATGGATAAAGGGATGGGTGGATGGATGGATGGATGGATGGATGGATGGACAGATGGGTGGATGGGTGGATAGATGGGTAGATGGATGGTGGATGGATGGATGGGTGGATAGGTGGGTGGGTGAATGTCTGTCCTCCAGGACTGCTGTGGAAGACCAGCACTACAGTAGCAGTGACCTGGAAAGGCTTCCCCTACACAGCCCTCTTGCTGGGCCAGAGGAGGCGTGGTGAGGTGGAAGTGAGCATATCCACTGCCTCACAGTCCCCCCATTACCTGTTGCATCTCATGTTCTAGTTGGAGGAGGCTCTCATCCCGTTCATGCTTCAGGCTCTGAATTTCCTCCTTCAGAGCCTCCCTCTTGGCTGCACTTTTTGCCACCAGCTCCTTCTCCTGTTCCAACCTGCATGCTGCCATCTTCTTCTCCTCCGTCAGAGACAGACTGAGGGTCTCCTGGGCCAAGACGAAGGGACAGGCTGTGAGGACCATACAGGTTAGGACATGTGAGACCAGCAGTGCCTGTGGTCTGAGTGAGACCTGGTTCATGGGACTCCAGGGCAAGACAGGTCCCCAGGGATTGTCGAGCTGGCTGCAAGCCCCTTGTCTCACACACAGTGTCACTGAAGCAAGAGCTGCAAAGGGGCTCTCTGGGCCTCCACCTCCACCTCCTCTATCTGGCATGAACTAACAGTTCAAAGGCCTTTCCTGAGCCTCCACGGCACACCACGCACCAGTGACATGCATGAGGTGTGCAGGCATGTCAAACAAGGCCTGCAGGAGTCTTGGCCAGTGGGATGGCTCGGATGGGTGATGAAACGCCCTCCAGCTTCGGCCCTCAACCTGCAGCCAGGTCAGTCAATGCCCACAGCTGGCCCCTCCTTCGAAGGAGAGGACCTAGCCACACTGGCTCAGCCCCATGACCTAGCTGCCCACCTTATCTATGAAGGGTCCTCTCTGGCCCCCACCTGAGTGTGGCCTGGCACCTCTGCCTCCTGCCTGGTCTCCTAGGACCCCTCCCCTGAGGGTCTTCCATGACCTGGGACATGTAAATTCCCAGGAGTGGCAGCAACTGGTGGCCTAGGGAAGCAGACCTTCTCCCTCTGGAGCCGTGCGATGTCTTCACAGTGGGCCAGTGCCTGGCTCTCCAGGGCCAGCTGTGCTTCCCGCTCCTGCTGCGCCATCTGCCGCCGTAGCTGCCCAATGTCCCACTCCAGCTTCGTCTCCTGGACCTCCCAGGCGCCTTTCAGTTGCTCCAATTCCACTGCAAAGTGACATATGTATCCAGGATTGGCCACAGGGCCCCATGCCATGGAACACCCTGTGGCCTGTGCAAGCCCCCTGTGGAGTGACAGCCACCTGCTCTGAGGATGCTGCCCAAGCAGGCAGGGACAAAGTCCCACCACAGCATGTATTCTGGCTATGGCCAGGCCTAGGGGCTGGGTGAGCTACACATGGTGAGGTGGGCTGAGCAGGGGTGGGAGCTCAGGGAATGGGGCAGGGGCTGCCACACTGACCCAGGTCTAGACCCTGGGAAGCAGACTGGGCAGGCCACCCCTCACAGATGAACCCATTCAGCTCCAGGAGCTCCAGGCCCGAGTTGGTGCCCTTCCTGGGGGACTAGGCAGTGGGAGCAACACTTTGGGACTGAGCTCTATGGAAGGGGCCCTTCTGGGCCATGTGGGGAGAAGAGAGACAGGCGGGGCTGCTGGAGCACCTTGCAGGGCCTGCCGGGCCTGCCGGGCGCTCTGGGCCTCTCCCTCCAGATGTTCTTGCTGTGCCTGCAGCTGCTCTGCCAGCTGTTGAGCCTCAAAGAGGCTGCTCTCCAGCACATCCCGCTCGGCCCTGTGGAGAACCATCAAACAGCGGGCCAGTCACCAAGCGATCCCATTTGCTGCTGGCAGGACAGAGCTTGCCAAAGCCAGGCTGGTAAGTCAGAGAATAAACAGAGGACATTTCTTTCATCTTAAATCTGTAAAAACAAATTGATTCCACACAAAAAACGTTTCAGGTGGATTAAAAGCTAAATGAAAAAAACCCCCACAAAAATATAAAAACAAACAAACAAACAGAAACAACAACAATAATAACTAAAGCATTTAGAACTGTAAAGGTAGTAGAAAAAATACAGAAGGGTATTTTATAATCTTCTTAAGAAAGACACAAACAACAGAAGATAAAAATAAAGAAGCTGATAGGTCTGAATATACTTAAAGATAGGGAGGGAGAGCTTTCATGCAGAAAAGATTCCACAAACCAACTTAAAAGACAAGGAACAGACTTGAAGAAAAAAAAATCTGCACTAAATATACACAGGGTCCATATCCATCATATACAAAAAGCTCCTACTAATCAATGACAGAAAATCAGCTGACTCCACAGAAAAATGAGAAAAATGACTGTTATTCACAAAAAAATCCACAGATGGTTAATAAACATATGAAACTTGCTAACCTTATTCGGTACTCAAGGAAATTAAAACCACAACCAGGCACTCGATTACCAAAAGACTGAAGCAATGATAATACCCAGTGCTGGTTAGGGTGCCTGACCTCTAGCAGCAACCCCACCTTCGGGTGTTAGCACCTTAGAAACACACTGGACCAACAACGCTGCACAGGGTGCTCACTGTGGCTGGAGAGCTGCACTAGTCTTCAGAGCTGGCGGATGGCAGAGTGTTGTGGAAATGATGGCACATTGTCAGTCGTAAGGAGGATGAGGAAACTCTTTCACCTAAAGAGTTGCTCTGAGAAGCAGAACCTCACACGTGTGGCTCCATTATAGGAGAAGCTGCCTCGCGCCTCTGCACCCATGCGAACGCTCAGAAGGACCTGGGACGAGCACAGCCCTGACAGCAGCCCCCATTTCTGGGGAGGTGGCTTGAACACAGCCAACCCATTAGCATCAACCAGCCAGTGAGCATGTTTTAAGTGTTGCTCTGCTCTGCTGTGCTGGGTGACGTACACATGGGCACCCACAGACACTGAACACAAATCCCACATGAGCACACAAATTGCCAATGCGCAGCCCCACGATAGCCCATGAGCCAGGGCGGGCCGTGGGCCTTGGGCAGCCTCTCTAGGTTCCCCCTGCACACCGCTACCACCACTATTGGGGGTTGGGCACTTTCACACCTTCCAGGGGCCCGATACCTGCACAGCTCAGAAATTTTGCTTCTCTGAGACCCTGGTTCCCCCTCCAGTCCCTACCTGGTCAGCACCCACATGTTCCCCACTCTCTCTACCTAGACTGCTTTCCCTACCCAGAACATTCCTCCTCCCAGAGGCCCTCCAGGTCTCCTCTGCTGCTCAGAATCTGCACCTGGAGGCAGGAATCTAAGGGCATGTCTAGTCTTTCCCTCCACAGGAGCCCACAGGCAGCTCAGCCTCCTGAGGCCAGCCAGGGTGAGCGTGGGGTATGCAGGCAGGGAACCTAGTCCATCTCCCAGACTGAACAGCATGCTGGCACCCTGTGAACTGAGGGCGTGTCCCCAGGGCCTGGGGTCCTCCCACATCAAGCTGACCATGGAGGTTTCACCAGGAGACCTGGAGCAGGACCGCTCACACTGAGCGGTCATCAATACGGTCTGGGAACTCATGAAAACTGAGGCGGCCAGAGATTCCCACCCCAGCGAAATAAACACACACCGCTTGTGCCAGGCAGACATGGTTTCGGGACAAGTCCCGAGCAGCCCTGTCATCAGCAGCTCAGATGGGTCATCCTGAAATGCTGTTTGGTGGGTATGTGACTGTGCAGGGGTCCTGGGCCCAGGAGTCAGGCTTGAGTTGGTGCAGGATCCCAGGTTCCCGAAACCACTGACCAGGGCCCATGATCCAGGGCCCATGATCCAGCAGCACATGCTGGTGGGAGGAAAAGGGCCTCCAACCACACTGCCCTCTGAGCACTGCGGGCCTAGGAGGCGGTGGGCAGGGTCCTGTGACCCTCTGCTTCTGACAACCCACCCCAGCCTTAGTCAAGTTTCATCAATTTCCACCAAGCTTTCATTTATCAATTTCCAAAAGCTTTCATTTTGAGGAGAGGATTGTCTGAGAAGATGTACAAGGACCCCCAGATTCTGGCATTCCAGGAGGAAATCTTTTCTAGAAAAGTACTCGGATATTCCTGAGAAGGGCCCAAAAGGTCCAGAGGCTATGGGACCAGGTCAGCTCACGAGGCACAGCCTGCAGGGCACCCCTGGTGTTGCCTAAAGTGCCCATTCCATGTCTTCTGGAAGTGGCCCCATGGTCACTGAGCTCACTGTGGCCCCACTCTCTGCTTGGTGGTTCCCTGGGGCTGACACCCCCTCCCCCCCACTCCAGGGATGAGCATATGACCCGGCCAGCCAATCTGAGCCCTGTGACTCACTGAATTGGTTCAGGGACATGAAGTAGCTCAGGATGGTTAATGGCAGCAACTCTTGGGCCTTGTGGGGAGAAGGGCACTCTGTGTCTGCTAGAGAAGGAAGCCTGGAGGAGCCACTGACCATCTTGCCACCTCTCACCCTGAGCCCTTGAACCAGACCTCCTCAGGATTGAGCAGCACTGAGGGGGGAGAGGCAGGGTCCTACGGGCACTGTGGGAGTACCTGGATCCAGCCTTGCCTGAAGCCATGTATACCTTAAACGTCTCAGATCCACGAGTAAGACATTCCATGTTGTCATTCTGCAACTTGCCACCTGGCCGGTGCAGCCACCTCTCACAGAAAGGCCACCCCAGGACTCTCACTGGGTCCACCTCACTCACAGTCTCTCTCCCATGTAAACATACCCTCCCTGGCCTACCATTGCTAGGTGAATGCCTGCCCCCTGCCACACTGCAGCCTCCCTGAGGCAAGGCCAGGCACACACACCCTGTCCATAGCCCCTGGGTACCTGAGATCAGCTGCCTCCTCAGCCGTGAGCCGGCCCTGCCTCTCCAGGGCCTCCTGCTTGGCCAGCAGCTGAGCTCGCTCCTCCAACAAAGCCTCCTTCTCCTGAAGGGCTGTCCGGAGAGTGTCCATCTGCGCCTCCTGGTCCCTCAGGCTCTGGGCCAGCTGATCCTCCAGGGCCTGTTTCTTGCATGTGACCTAGAGGAGGGGGAAGGGGAGAGTCCAGCAGAGAAAGAGCGAGTGGGAGGGTGAGCGGGGCCTCTTCAGGGAAAAGCAGGACTTCAGAAGAAGTGGTGTCATGCAGAATGGAATGAAGAAAAGGTAGAGGAGAGTGAATATGAGACACATGGGACCTCAGAGTGCTCACGGGCTAACGCAGCAGAGGCTCCACTCCTGTGACCATGATGGAGGAGTTACTGAACTGAGCATGCCCAGCTTCCAGTCTACATGGTAATCTTGGTTAGACCACAAGTGTCCAGGGGGCAGGAAAAATTGCACAGAAATGGCAGTAGAAGGTGACAGAGGACCAGGTTGCTACAGACTAACACTTCCACCAACAACATCACAAAAATCTAGATAAAATACATCATGGAATCTGAGTAAGGCCTGGGGAGCTGCCAGGCCAGCTGGGATGGAAGGATCTGAGATCTTGGAGAGAAGGGATTGAGCCCACCATTAGCTATCTTGTCCCTCTTCAGAGAATGTGCTGATTTAAAAGTTTAGGCTGAGAAATTGGGAAGTCAAGGACAGCTTCTGGCAATATTATGATCTTAGGGGGCCAAAAACTTAAATTCAGAGCCTTTGAAGCAGAAGGATCCTGATAAACACCCCAGGTTTCTAGTTGTATGCACAGAAGGGCTTCACCCTAGTAATAGAGGTGGATCAGAACAGACCATCCCTCAATCATGGATTATGGTGATTATCTACCCTCACTACCTACTAGAATCAAAAGTAAATCCTCTCTGGAAGAATAGCATCATCAAATTATTTCTATAGTTTTAAAATATGGTAATTGACACTTGATCAACATTACCAGGAATATCAGAAGATAAGATCACATGGCAAAAACCATGTGTAAGAACATCAAATAAACACAGATACCTCCCTGTCTCTTTAAACTTTAAAATAGCTGTGATTAAATGTTCAAGAATGTGAATGGCAAGATGTAGAATTTTACCATAGAACTAGAAACAAAATATAAGCAACATAATTTTAAAATACAATAAGCAAAATTAATAAATATAAGGTTTCAATGACAGATTAGACAGAGGTCTAATAATCTGGAAGAGAGACAAAAGAATGTATTCAGACTGAATTATGAAAAGAAAAAATGATGGAAAATACAGAAAAAAGTGTAACAGACACGCAGGGCAAGGCCTAACATATGTATAATTGAAGTTGCAGAGGGAGAGGAGAGAGAATATTTGAACAGATACCAGACAGAAATTTGGCAAATCTAATAAAATGCATCAAGCCACAGATTTAAAATGAGCCATAACACCCTAAAAAGATAAAGACAATGAAAATGTCACATAGATATATCTTAGTTCTAAGTTTCCAAATACCAAAATAAAGGAAAATATCTTTAAAATCAGAGGGGCAAACCCCCCTCCCCTGAGACATTACATTTAAACGAGCAACAATAAGTCTGACATTTGACTTCCAAATAGCAACAATGACAGTCAGAGAATGGTGGAATCTATATATATAAAACCTGAATATGCAAATAGACCGAACAGTGGAACAACTGAACAACCAGTCGCTATGACGAGCACTGACCACCAGGGGGTGCGTGTGGAACATGGTGGGCGTTGGCCATGGCGGGATGGTGGAGCAGGTGAGTGGGACCCCGGTCACTGATTTGGGGCAAGCCTATAGTGGTTACTGAAAATTCTTTGCTCCCGCACACATGATCCCGCCAGGTGCTCACACCTGCTGCTGGTGCCCAGCGTCGGTCCCAATCACTCACTCAATTGCTCAGCATCGTCAGCGGGTAGGAGTTGTGGTTGCCAGCCCCAATCATCCCTGAGGGCTTCTCCACCTCCCCCTGCTCCTGAGGGGTGATCGGGCTGCCACTCGCACCCGCTGACCGCACCCACTGACAGCACCGGCCCTGCGCTCTCACCCGCTGTTGCGAGGGGGCCAGCACCATCAGAGTGTGGGAGTGGTGGCAGCAGAAGCAGGGCTGCCGGCAGACAGAGGACTGGAGGCCATGGTGGGAGGGGCTGGGTGGGGGTGTGGAGGATGGGCCAAGACCCACCCCTGTGCCCACTGCAGCCTTATGTCCCACAGTTCCTTTCAAGTTCCCCTGGGCCCCTAGTGAAACTATAAAAATGCTGAAAGAAAATAATGGCTATCCTAATATTCTATACCCAGCAAAAATATTCTTCAAACATAAAGACCAGAAATTTCTGCTTCTGACAATGGTGAAGTAGATTGTTGGAGGCCAACCCTCCCACCTAGAATGGCTAGAAAAGCTGCACCCTATATCTCCAACATATCTGTGTGATGGCCAGAAAGATACCAAGGCAGCCACGGCCCAAAGGGGCCTGATTACTGAGAGACATGTATTCAAATTAGCCTGACATTCTACCCAGATTTCTCTTGGAAGTATCTGCTAGCACATAGGTGGTACAGTGCCCACGGCCTCAGGAGCCAAGGACAAACACAACATGGGCAGGAGAGACAGCCACAGACTGAAGAGGAACTCTGAGTAGCCCTATACCTGTTAAAGAAACTGAATTTATTATCAAAACGTTTCTCACAAAGGAAACTGCAGATTCAAATAACTTCACTAGTGAAGCCTACCAACATTTAGAAAAAAATAACACCAATTTTTAAAACACTTCCCAAGAAACAGAGGAGGAGGAAATATTTTCCAACTTACTTTATGAGGCCCTGATTCCAAATCTGACAAAAACATTATGAGAGGAGAAAATTACAGACCAACATTCCTCATGAATAAACATGCAAAAGTCTTTCACAAGATATTATGAAATTTAATTGAAAGATATATAAAATATCTGTTAACTTATGACCAAGTAGGGTTTATCTCAGGTAGACAAGGTTGGTTTAACATTAAAAAATTAACCAATATAATTCATCACATTAACAGAGTGAGAATAATGACATGATCATCTTACTAGATACAGAAAAAATGTTAACAGAATGCAAAGGCTCCGGATTTAAGCAAAAGGGAACATTGTCAATCTGATAAGAGACATTTATAAAATGCCTACAGATAATATCATTCTTGAGGGTGAAATATTGAATTTTTTCCTAGTATTGTCATTGGTGGAAGGAAGGCCACTCACCACTTCTTACTGACTTTGTTCTGTTGGCCTTTAGTCAGTGCACAGAGAGAAGAAGAAATACAAGCACTGAAGCCATAAAAAAAGTGAAGTCTGTTATTCCCAGATAACATGAAAATGTGCTCAACATCTCCTGTTATCAAGAGATGTAAACTAAACCACAATGATCTATAACTCCACACACATGGGAGAGCTAAAAAGTAAAAATGGGTGATACCAAGTGCTGACAAGGCCAAGGAGCAAAGGGAAGTCTCCCCGCTGTTGGCGGTAGAGTAAAACGACAGGCCCACTTTGGAAAACTGCTTGGCAGTTTCTTATAAAGTTCAGCACACACCTATCCAATGACTCCACAACTTCACTCCTATATATTTACTCAAGAGAAATGAGAATATATACACAAGTGTTCATACAAGTCTTGTCCATTATCGCCCCAAACCCAAATGCCCCGCCACAGGTGAATAGGTATGGAAATGTCGTTTATTTGTACAGTGGAATATTACTACGTAGTGAAAAGGAACACGCCCTTGATTCACCTGACATTATGGATGGCTCTCAAAGCCCTGTTGACATAGAGAAGCTGGGCACAAAAGCATTTGTACTGTGACTCCATTTACAAAAAGCTCTAAAACAGGCGACGCCAGTCTTGGTGGTACGTGGCAGAGCAGAGGCTGCCAGGGGTGGGGTGCCTGGAGGAGCATGAGGAAATGGGCTGGGCTGGTGGAGCAGATCTACGTCTTGGTCTCAGTGGTGGCTACACAGGTGCATGGAGCTGTCAAACCTCACTGAACTGTACACTGGCATATTGGATGTAACCGTGTAATTAAATACAGAGGAAACCAATGACTGAAAAAGGGACACGACAGAGTCTCAGAAGCCAAAAGAGGCTGCGCTGAGTCCCAAAGGTAGGTGACAGGGGCCATGGAGTCTGAATGCCACTGGGGGCCCAGAAAATAGCAAAGTTGCTTCAGTGTAACTACCCCCTGAGTGTGGCCTCCTCCTTAACACAAGATTTATGTCAATAGAAGACCTGGGAATCAGTGACCGAGTGAATAAGTGAGTCCAGCCGCGGACGAAAGGCAACAACATACAGGAAAAAGCAGTGAAGCCTTTGAGCCCTGAGTGTGCGGAATCACTGGGCCTCTGACCCCTAATGAGGGGCGGAACTCAGCCCCCGGGATTGGTGGCAGGTATGATGTAAAGGTTCTTCTTTGTATACCCACCCCCTGTCCTCTCCCTGCCTTTGAATGCAGCCAAGTCAGTCAGCACTGCAGTCAGAATGCGCCGGTGCTGACAGCCTGAGCCAGTGCGATGTGGTGAGGTGACCTGTGACCCGTCCACACCACAGAAAGGGTGGCCCTGCAGGGTGGGGCCAGAGCCAGGAGCCCCTGCAGACCTCTCACCTGGCCCACCTGCTCCTGCAATTGGGCTCTCTCACGCTGGAGCCGGTCTGCCTGCCCCTCCAGCTGCTCCAGCTGCTGCTCTGCCAATGCCAACCGCTCCCTGGCGTCTGCCCGCTCCTGCCTCAGCACTTGCTCCTGCTCCCTCAGCCGGTCCCCCTCCTGTTGCAGCTGCCGGGGAGGGGGGAGGGAGGGGTGTTGGGGGAGTCAGCATCCAGGCCATGCCCCACACACCTGTGCCTCCATGGGCTGACCATCTCTCCCTGGACTGCCTTGGTGTGCGTGGCCTTCCCTCCACAGGCCCACTGTCCAGGCCCACTGTCCCTATGTGGGCCTCTTCTCTACACACCTGTGCTCAGTCCAGGAATGGAAGAGGTGGGGGGAGATGGGTGCAGGGAGGATTTTAGGCTCAGAGATCAGAGCTGGGACCGAGTCTCATGGCCACCCCGGGGAATGTGAGGCTCAGGGGAAGGGCTGCTCACATGGCCCTCGTCTCACCTGCAGGACCTGGTGGGTCAGGCTGCCTTTGTCCTTCGCCAGGCCCTCCATCAGGGTGGCCATCTTGGCCAGGGAGTCCCTTTGCTGCACCCCCTCTGACTTCAGCCGGCTCACAAGCAATTCCAGGTCAGCATTGCTGGACTCAGCCTAGGGTTGTGGGGGGGGGGGGGGTAGGGAGGGCAGTGGTCACCCTGAGGGGGGATGCCAAGGAGGGACTTTCAGATTCACAGGAGGAACTTTCTCCCCGGCAGAGCTGTTGGTGCCAGGGAAGGAGGGAGCCCCTCATCATGGAGGTGTGCACGCTGGAGGTCTGGGTAGGATGGGTGTGGGGAGGGAATCCCACAGTGAGGAGGCCTCCAGGGTAAACGGCAGCCCCTGAGCACTGGAGCTGCGGCCAGGGGAAGTGAAGGGTGGCCTGGAGGGAGAGACAGAGGCATACCCGAGCCAGGGTGCCATGCAGGGCCTCCCTCTCACTCTCCAGAACGTCCCTCTGTAGCCGGGCTGCATTCAGTGCCTCCCGGGCCGACACCAGCTCCTTCTTGAGCCCTGAGACCTTCTCCTCCAGCTGCTCCAGGCGTCCTTGGCTAAGGTCCCCAAATCAGAGGTAGAGGGTGTGAGGCTGGCTCAAGGCAAGACAGGCCACCTCACAGGACCTAGCAGGCAGGGTGGCCGCCTGCAACTTCCTCCAAGCCCAGGGACCCCCAGAGGAGCCCAGGTCACTCTGGAGGCCTGAACTTGGTGAGTCCACAGGGTGGCATCCGAACCAGGACCCTGTTTCCCGGCTGGGGGTGGGGTTCTGTCCATGCCTCAGTGGACTCACCTGGGTGTACACATGCTGGGGGCACCCCCTCTCCTGGGCCCGAGGTGGTGGATTTGCTGGGGCAGGCACTGGGTGGATGTTGGGCGGGTGTTGGGGCGATGGCTCAACCTACAGGAAGCCTGGAGAGCCTGTCACCCCCACTGTCTCGGTGGGTGCCCCCACTCCCGGAAACAAGGTTGCTAAGGAAGCGGTCCCCTTAGTGGATGAGGACGCTGAGGCCCACCTGGTCTGCAGCTCCCTGCGGCTCCGCTCGCCCTGCTGCTCCAGCACCTCCTTCTGCTGTGTCCAGAGCAGGAGGCTTCTCTGCAGCTCAGCGTTCTCGGCCTCCCGCTTCTGCTTGTCCATGTCCCAAACATCCATCTTGCCCCTTAGCTCCTCCACCTCCAACTCCAGGGCCTTCTTCTCTCTGGGAGCAGGGGAGGCCAAGGTTGGGGCAGCTTTGGAGGAGGGGAGCCTGGAGACCCACACAGGGTACATTCCAGCCTCAGCCCACTGCCAGGAGGATGTGCAGGGCAGGGTGGGCGCCAGGCATGAGGGCTCCTGGGGGCAGGAGCTCAGGGAAGTGTGGGGAGGGACAAGGAAGATCCAATAACCTCCAGCCCCAGGACAGCCTGCAAGGTGGGGTGGCCAGCAGCTTGTCCCCTCCTGGTGGCCCTTGGGAGTCCTTAAAACGCAAAGGCTCCTGGTGCAGCCCTGTGCTCAGCCCTCTGCCACCCGCAGGCCCGGCTCCACCGGTCCTTGCAGAACTCGCTGGAGGGAAGAGACATCTCTCCACCTGCACCTTCCCAGCTCCACATCTGCTTGTACTGCTCACCTGTCCTGACGGCCCCGGGCCCTCCAGATCCAGCTCCCTGTGTGAGGCTGTGCTCAACGCTGACCCACTCAGAGTCCTTGCCGCATGTCACCTTTCCGCCAGGGACCTGAACCTCAGCTGCACCCCCAGGCCCTGGCCCCTGAGGCCTCCATTTCCCAAATGCCCTTTAAATCTGGCCATGTTCTCTCCATGCTGAGGGGCCCACCTGTCCTCAGGAATCATGGCCGACTCCCTCCTATGTGGAAGGTTTGTGGGGGAAGCGTCCCCAAGCTGGGACGGCCCGCTCTGTCCAACCTGGACCCAGACAGCTCATCGCCCTGCCCAGCCCTCAGGTCAGCCACCTTCCCAGGAGCTCGCTGGCTGCCCTGCAGTGCTGTGCCTTCTGGCTCTGTGCCTCCAGCCTGTCCAGGAGGTCCCCGTGCTCCTGCTCTCGCTCCTGCAGGAGCCTCCGGGAGGCTCGCAGCTCCCGCTGCCTCTCTGACAGCTGCTCCCGGAGCCTGGCCGCCACCACCTGGGAGGACTTCAGCTGTAGACGCAGCTCCTGCTCGGGGTGGGGTGGGGGGGAGGTAGCATGAGCTCCCTCCGGCCTGGGCAGGCCTTTGACCACAGACCCCCCCAGAAAGGATGCACCTAGGGCAGAGCCCCCTCCCTGGGGCTGTGGGTCTCAGGGGCAGGTCCTATAGGAACACCTGCCAGCCCCATGGGTTTCACATCCCCGTGGGGCCCAGGGTACAGCTCTGGTGGCTGCCCACCTGTTCCTGCTGCCTCCTCCTCTCAATAGCTGCCTGCACAGCCCGCAGCGCAGGGTCTGGGCTGGCCCGGGAGTGGGCCCGTGGTGGAGATGCACCCCAGTGAAGGGACGAGGTGCGTGGAGGGCTCCTCAGTGGACTCTGTGCCTTCTCCCTGTCAGTGCTGCTGCTCTGTGCCAGCTCTGGGCACCTCGAGTCTGCCTGGGCCACCTTCACAGTGTGGGGAGAGCGCTCAGGGTCATGTCCAGTGGGGACCTCCCAGATTATCCCACACATCAGCTGGACCCCCTGAGACCCAAGATGGCCTGCACCTCTGTGATGATGTTCAAAACACGCCGTAGGGACTTCACTTCCTCCTTCAGGTTGTCTGCCGCCAGCTGGCCTCCACTGCGCCAGGACTCCTGTGCCCAGGCAGACCCCTTAGCAGGGCGGCAGACGCTCTGGCCCCAGAGCCCCCACACCCCACCACGTCCCCACCCCCACGCACTAGTCTCTGGACATCCATTCTGAGGGAAGAAATGGTTCTTTCCTTCTCCGAGTTTTGCTCTGTGAGCCTCTCCACCAGCAATTTCTGCTCGGAGAGTCTGCAGAAAAGTTGGGGGCGGGGGGCAGGGTGGTCAGCACAGAGCCCAGAGCCCAGGTCACCGGTGGGCCCTGAAGACTGCCTGGCTGAATCAGACTCCTCCTGTGGTGTGGCCAGGCCTCAGGCATTGGCCACATCTGTCTGAGTGGACCTCAGTCCTGGTCTGGTCAGACACCTCTCTCCTACTTTAGAACCTTCAATGGCTCCCACTGTCTTGAGAGTAAAGCACAAACCCCAAAGTCAGGATCCAAGGGCCCAGGCTGACCCTGACTCAGACCCTGTCCTGCCCTTGGGGCCAGCAGATGCAGTGCTCATCTGGGGCCTTTGCCCGCCACTGCTCTGCCTGGACTACCTCTGCCACCACAAGTCTAACAGTGAGTGAAGATGTTATTGTCCCTTCCCAGGACCCACCTTCTTCTCCTGACTCTCCATGGCACCTGGATCTCCTTTCCCATGACCCCAGAGTACTCTTCTCTGAGTACGGGGCCCTGAGTGCTGCCCTGCAGGATGTACGGGACTCCCCGCACCCCATGAACTCCTGCTCCCTTGAGGGCAGGGCAGGCCCCATCCTGTCAGCTGGCAGGGTGTCTGTGGCCATGTGAGCCCCAGGCACCCAGATTCTGTGGAATTGTGCCCTGTGGCCTTCCGTGGGGAGCTATTTCCCTGTTTTCTGCTGAAGGAAACATACTTCAAGCCCCCGATGCGGGTTCTGTGTGCAGAACATCCCATGCTTCCTCTGAGGCTCATGGACCCCAGATGGGCCCGGCCCACTGCCTGCTCTGCTTCTCAAACAGTTGACCCCAAAGCAAGTGCCTGCTCCTGAAGGATGTGCCTTTAGCCCCAAGGACAGTCCATGTGTATCCAATGCAGTGTCCACGGAGACCCTCCAAGTTGGGCAGCTCTAACTGGCCTGCAGGGCTGGAAGGAGTTTGGGCTTGCCTACCCGCGGGAATGTCATGTGGCAGCTGGAATAACAACTGCCTATCACTTGGATCCCTGGCTGCAGGGCAGATAGGAAGGGGGCGCAGGGTGCCCCCACCCTGACCTCCACTGTGCGATAGCCCTCTCAGGCACCCACCTGGCCTGCAGTGCCACCTTCTCCGTGTCCCAGCGGCCCTGCAGCTGCAGCATCTCCCGCACCTTGTCCCGCAGCTGCTGCTCCAGCCAAGAACCCTGCAAGGCCTGCCTCTCCAGGGCACCTGCCGAGCTGCTGGCCGACAGCTGCAGGTTGGAGTTGAGGTTCAGGCAGGCCGTGTGCAGGCGCCGGGCTGTCCTGGCTGCCTCTGCTTGCATGTCAGTGAGACTCCTAGGGACAAGGCAGCACCCCCAGCTGAACCTCAGGGCCAGCTGTGGGCTCAGGGCCCTGAAGGTGTCCCACTGGCTAGGAGGGGCAGGGTATGGTCACATGGGTCCTGCTTTCTGCCCTCAGCAGACCCCCTTACCCTCCCCCGCCCCCATTCTCAGGAGAGGCCCATACTGTGTGTTACCAACGGTCCCCATGTCACAGCCAGAGAGGTCCCCCTGTCACAGCAAGGGCTCAGCAAGGCCACAGAGGACATGGACTCTCTGAGCCCTGTTTCCTTGTGTGCAGACGAGGGGTGACAGGTCCCTCAATAATCCAGGGCAGACCCAAGAGGTGCCTGGCAGGGACTAGAGGAACTGGAAATTGTACCGTGTAGCTCCTCCCCTTCCGTCACCTCTGCCCTGCACCCCCTCCCTCCCTCTGTGCTTTAGTGCTTCTCAACCCTACCACCCTCCACCCCACAGGGACCCTGAGGCCCAGCAGGGCTGGGGCAGTAGCTTGTGAGCCAGGACAGCTCCTCCATGGGAGCAGCTTGGAGGGCCCAATACCTGGGCCACCATCAGATGCCCCTTCTCCTACACCCCGATGGGGCAGCTGGCTCACCTCTCAGAGGCAGATCGAAGCTCAGCCACCTGTGTTCGGAGCGCTGTCACCTGTCTCCACAGGAGGAGGAAGTCCTGGGGCTGTACCCCAAGGTGTGAACGCCGGGTCTGAAAGGAAGGGGCCCGTGCCCACCTCAGGTGCAGGCCCAGGCATGGGAAGTGAGAAGCCCTGCGACCCGTTCCTCTAGCTGTCACACTGGCCAGACCCCACACCCCCAAACCGTTCTGCAGCCCAATGGGCTCATCTTTCACAATAATGCAATCTGCCATCCCCAGAGGACCTGTGAAGGTGACAGCACCCAGCTTCTGCCCAGGTCAGGACCCACTCAGCCTGGCCCTCTGGAGTGGGAGGCACTTCTGCAGCCCTCAGCTCGTGTGCAGCGCTCCCCCCTCCCCACAGGGTACAGACTCTGCCTCCTTCTCCAGAGTGGAGGGTGGCTTTTACTCTGGGAGGGCTCCTAAGATGTCCAGGTGTGTGGCCTGGCCCTTTTCCTTCAGAAAAAGCCTTTGCTGATCCCCTGCCCTGACCCCACGTCCCAGGTCCCCTCATTGGCCCAAACACTTTGCTGGGTGTCTTGTGTAGGGGGTGCCCCTCAGTGCCTGGCACAGGGTCCTCGGTGTATGTGTGGAATAAGCTGCTTGCCCGGTAAGTGCAGGAGCGGCTGCCCGGACCAGCCTTCGCAGTAACTACACCTACATCCTTCAGATTCCACACTTCACAAGTCCTGAACTGGAGGCTGGGCTGGCCCACGTGGTGAGGAACACGCAGGCCAGAAACAAAGTCAGAGGTACATAGGTAGCTTTTGCCAAATGGAGCAATTTCAACACATTTCCTTGACCTCAGGGGCTCAGGAAAGAGAGAGTAAAGCCCAGAGGCCACCCACCGGGGGAATCTAGTCACACAGAGAAGTGATACCCCGCAGTGGCACTCTGTGTAAGGTGTGCTAGAGGTGAGTAAACGTGAGGGTGAACTAGTACACACACATACATGCACACATGCGTGTGCGCACACACGCACACACACACACAAATGCTTGTATCCCCCAATTCATATGTTGAACTCCCAACCCCACTGTGTTGATGTCAGAGGGGGAACTTTGGGAGGTGATAAGCCATGAGAGGGGCTCTCATAATGGGGTTAGTGTCCTTATAACGGGGCCCAGAGAGCTTCCCGCCCCTCTGCCACGTGAAGTTATCCTGAGAAGGTTTGCGACCCAGGAAGGGGCCCTCACCAGTAACTGAATCTGCCAGCACCTTGATCTCAAACTTCCTGCCTCCAGAACTGTGAGAAATTAATGCGTTTATAAGCCCCCCGTCTGTGGGGTTTGTTATGGCAGCCTGGGTGCACTAAGACAGGAGGGAAAACTGCCTTCCCTGTGGGCCAGACAGCATTTGTCCAGTTTTCAGCCTGCGTTCGCATAACTGGGTGCTTCCAGAAAACTCAAGCTGAAAATTAACTTCAGCGTGGTCCCAAAGACCGTCAGAAGCCGTAAGCACCTGTCAGAAGCACATAAAAATGCTCTCTAGAAGATACCACATTCATCCCAGGTGTCAAAGAATTTTCACAAAGTTCAGAGGGAAATAAGCAGCTCCCACTTTAACAAAAACAAAACAAATTGAAGACATCACCAAAGACACAAGGCACAAAGCACATGGAGTGGTGGCAGGAACAGTGGAGGCAGACCTTAAACCTCAGATACGAGACTTCACACACAGGCCACAAGACAACTGCCGCTGCTATGCACCAGCATATACATGGCAGGCTGGAAAACAGAAGGAAAGAGTAAGATATTTGGGAAAGAACTCACCGGAACTCTTAAGGATGAAAAATACATTATTTGGAATGGAAGCCTAGTAGGCAGGTTTAACAGATTGGCAACTGAAGAGAAAACTGATGACCAGGAAGGTGTATTTGACGAAATTAACTAGAATATAGATCAGGGAATAGAGAGAAAGATGATGTGGGCAGTTCAGAAGCACGGGAGGGAGCATGAGAATGGCTTACACACTCAGGCCGGAGAGGAGGCAGTGTGCAGAGTAATGGACACTTTCCCAAAATAACGAAAACACAGCATCCTGATGAAGCCTCAGCAGGACAGACAAACAGCAACCTCCACACAGACACATTGCAGTGAAATTGCAGGACAGCAGAGCCAAAGCCGAGATCCTACAGCAGCCAGAGGGAGGAGGCAGACGGCCTTCCCCAGGAGGGGCTGGAAGCCAGAGACAGAAAGGGTGTCTTGGGGCTGCTGAGAGAACACATCTGCCAACCAGCGAGCTCAGTTCTTAAGGGCAAGGGGAGGAAAGACCCTGATAAACCAGAGCCACACCAGCTCAGACCTGTCCCCCAGCTCTCTGCGAAGACGTGGATGGCAGGGCATGGGGCGTGATCCGTCTTAAATGTTACCCCTCTCAGGCTGAAAGTCCTGCTGTCGGTGACCACCTGTGAGGAGGAACAGCTTCTCCCTGCCAAGGCTTCACCTGCAGGACTTCGCCCTGACTCCCTCCCCCCCTCTAGCCCCCAGGGCTTAGGATGTCAGACAACTGTGACCAGGCAAGGCTTCTGCCCTGCTGGCCAGGGGTGGGGAGCCACGGTCTGCGTCCTGCCCAGGAGGCAGGCCTCTGGAACAGATGGGTATGCTAGAGCCAGGATTCCAGCCCCTACTTTCCAGGTCTGGCCTCGGTCCTGCCCTGCTTCTCTCAAGCAGAAAGTCTCCCTACCTTGGGCCCCCCCAACTCTGCGGACTTCTGTGGCCAAGCAGCGTGGGGGGGGGGTGGCATGGCAGGAGGCCAGTGCCTTGCCCTCAGAGGGAAGCATGGCTGAAACCAGCTTCCCCTGTCCTGGTCCCTGCGGCCCATGCCCCCAGCAGCCACGGGCACTGGAGCAAGTATCCCTGCCAATGGGTGGAGGCCGAGGGAGCACCTGTCTCTCGGTCCAGCGCTGAGCCTCCCTCAGCTCCAGCTCGCCCCTCAGGTGGAGCACGCTGCCCGTCGTCCTGGCCAGCTCCTCAGCCAGCGCGTCGTTGGCCTTCTTCATGTGCTCCAGCTGTTCTCTCAGAAGGGTGTTCACCTGGGAGAGGCCGGTGCTCCTGGACGGGCGGGAACCACAGTGGTGGTGTGGGCAGGTGGCTCTGCTTAGAGGGGCTCGGAGACCCAGCCCTGAACCTCCTGGGCCCAGCCGATACCAGCTCAGGGTGCAGCTCCCTGCATGCCCCTAAGCAGCACTGACCATATGCTGTGGGTCCCCAATGGCCCCCAAACTGGGCCAACATCTGGATGCCCCCCTGCCCCCCTCTTTCTCCCTTCTGAGCTTTCCTGGCTCTGCCCCCACAACTATGGTGGGCTCCTCAATCCTAGGTTCAGAGGTGAACCCTGAGACAAGAAAGAGGGGCAGGGCTGGGAGCCCTGGCCAGGGTACCAGGGCTAGGGGGTGGTGCCGTCCCTGCAGTGGGGCAGGTGAGAACAGGGAGGGGCAGCCCCCACCGTGACCTGGGAGCCTTCTCCACCCAAGACAGGCCTGTGTGTGGAGGGATGCCAAACCCACCCTCCAGAGCCAGCATCTCCCTGCCAGGTGGCAAGGCCATGGCAGGACATTCTCTGCTCCTGGGGTGTGAGTCTCCACTCGGATTATGCCCCCCTCAAAACTAGTTTGCAAAGGGCTTCCCGGCACTCTCCTCCCTTTCCAGTCCCCTAAGATGGGCGAGTGCAGGAAGTGGAAGAACTCCACAGGCCTGAACCTCCCCAGGGCTGCAGGTGGAGACACTGAGGGCTCAGCTCCTCTGGGCTCCTCTGGGCAGAGAGCTGGAGGGGTGCCCTGCCCTTCTGGGACTGTGTCCTGAGGCTTGGGGTCCAGGGGTGCAGGGGCTACCTCTGCAAGGCTAGGGTATCACACATGCTCACCACAGTGAACAAATGAGCCCCTGACCATGAAATCAGAGTGACCAAGGCCAAAGGAGCCTGGGAGTCAGGGCCAGAGCATGAAGAGTGGGTTCAAGGACAGCACCATGGGCACCCCAGGACAGGCTGAGCCACCCGAGGGCCACAGTCGACTGCAATGCTGGCCAGGGCACCAGCCACAGCAAGCATCAGGGGTCTGGGGGGCACTCTCGAGAAGTAGGGTCAGGGAGACCCTCACAGCCTGTTGGACCTGCACCCCACGCCTGAGGCCATCAACTCCCCATTCTGCTCTACGCCCTCCTTCCCCTGCCTGCTCCCCCCCCCCACCCCCCCCCCCCCCCCCCCCCCCCCCCCCCCGCCCAAGCCCTAAAGCCTGCAGCTGACTCTTACAGGCGAATTCGACTTAGAGCCACTTTGGGAGCAGGTTGGCCCTCAGCTTTAAGGCACAGTGGGGTCCACTGCCTCTTGAGGTGATGGCCGAGCTCCCTGCAGCCCTGACTGCTGTGCCTGCCTGGCCTCACCTCTGCTCTGCAGCCTCCAATCGGCCCAGTGCCTCTTCCAGGTCCACGCTGTGCTCCAGCTCTGACCTCCGCAGCTGGGCCTCAGTGGTCTGCAGCCGGGCCTGCAGCTAGAGGGGAGCATTAGCCCACCTGGAGAGCAGCTTTGGCACAAAGCCCTCCCAAGGGGCTGGGGTCAGATGGGGTCAGGTGGGGTCTGGGTCTGGAGAAGCTCAGGCCCCTCCACTGGATGGGTCAGATGGATGGGCATCCACACCCTGGCCGTGTCGAGGGGGTACGGCCAGCTTAGGAGGTGGCCTCCAGGGTCTGCATTGGCCACACAGGGGGCAGGACAGCCAGTTGCAGAGCAGGCCTGGGGTCACCCTCTATGACAATGTATGAGCTTAGGGTCCCACCTTCTGGCTGCCCTTCCTGCCTATGCTCACACCTCTGCTTCTCCCAGCACCACAGCCAGCAGGTGAGTGGGGACCACACCCACCATGTGTGGGTCAGGCCTGCCCCAGAGCCTGAGCAGATGGGGACCCTGGGGTTCTGAGGGGGAAAGCAGATGCAGGTCCCTACAAGATGTGACTCAGAGCACACTCTGGGGGTATTGGGGGAGGGAACTCAGGCCCTGCAGGCAAGGTGGTGGGGGCCTGAGAGATATGAAGGTCAGGAGAGCGGAGGCCACACCTGTGGCATGACCTGAGGACCTGGGACCAGGTGTGTGGGGAGGTGAGTGTCTCCTCCTCAGCCACCAGCTGGGTGAGAGAGGAGGGGCCACAGGTCCCAAATGGATCTAGGGGCAGGAGAAAAGGTTGCCACTGGGGTTGGGGACATCAGGAAATAGTCACACCGGCCACCCTGACCCCCACCCACCCAGGTAACTTGCAGGAGGCTCAGCCTCTTTGGTGCTGAACAGGGGAGCCTGGGCGTGGGCTGAGCTGCTGAGTCTGTGAGTTCAGATCTGACTCATGAGGTTTGCTAATCTGTCCACAGGATTTCTGCGGCCTCTATTCCCACTGGCCAGTTCCCAACATCTCCCCACCCTGTGCTAGGAACATCCCCCACCCCCACGGCCAGTGGGCCACAGACAGCCCCGGGAGGGCAGGCGAGCTCACAGAGTATTCTCCATGCTCCCACCCCGGACCCCATGAGAAGGACCCTCGCCTCACAGCCCTGCCCCGGGCCCCACTCTGGTGCAGGCAACCATGAGAATAGGAGTCCACAGTGTGGGAGACCCTGGGGCCCTCGGGCACTTAGCACAGAGCACTGGTCACTGGTGGTGGTCTCAGCCCCAATAACGGCAGCAGGGCCCTGGACACTCTGGCTGCTGTGAGCCTCTGTTTGCTCATCTGGAAAGTGGGATCATCTATCCAGAGACACATGGAGCAAGCTGTCTCTTAAGATAGCAAAGGCAGGTGCGGGGCCAACCCAGCAAGGCCTCTGAGCCCCCCACACTGTGGGCTGGGCCCCCCCTTGCCTAGTCATGCCTCAGAAGCCATCATGTCTGGGGGTGGCAGAAATGGGAGAGGCTCTGAGTAAGTATCTTCACTTCTCTGCCTTAGTTTCCCCACATATACAATGGGAGCCTGCCTTCCCCCCACTCCCCTTCCCACCCCCTGGACTTTGTAATCAAATCGGCCTCTGGCTGCAGCTTGCCGGACACCCTGGAAGGCACAGAGGATGGAGGACCCAGGCCAAGGGTCACAGCTGTTCCTCAGCTGTCAGGAGGGGTGGGGGCTGGGGCTGAGCCAATTCTCCACAAGCTGGGTCTGAGTATTGGGGCCAATTCAGCATGACTCCAATGGGCTTGCTTCCTTCCGCTTGCCGCCCACCCTCCTGGGGCAGGTGGTGACGGAGGGCTGGTGCTGGGCTCACCTGGGCTAGTCGCTGGGCCAACAGCCAGGACTGATCAGGCCGCCCCCATAGGGCTCCTGGGCAGGCAGGCACAATTCAATGCCTTAGCTGGGCTGTGAGCCTGGCGCGGCCTGGCACCATCCTGCCCTCACCTTCCACCTCCAGCCCAGGGTTTGGATTGCGTGGCTGAGGTACATACTAAGACTCGATGCTGGTCCCACTGGTCCAACTGCCAGTCCCAATGGGTGACCGCCTCAACCTGGGCCCGGCTGCCCCAACCCTGGTCTGTCACGCACTTATTATGAACACTTACCCGCTCGCTGACCATGTGGTACCTGCTGGCCAGCTCGTCCCGCTCGGCGCCCACCTGTGCCAGCAGGTCCTCCAGCCGGGACAGCTCCTCCTGCAGGAGCTCACTCTCCTCCTGCACCTGGGCTGAGGCTCCCGGTGGCTCCCGCACCCCTGCAGGTGGCACCGGGGTCAGCCATAGCACCCTGCCCCTATGGTGGCACTGAAGGCTGTTCTGACCCAGGGGACCGGATGTGGGGGAGGTAGACTTCACCCTCTGGGCCTCTCCTGCTCTCTGGTCAGTGGGCCTTCTCCTGCCTCCCTGCCTTTACAACATCCTCACCTCAAACACAAACCGATGCCAAGGGTGAGCCCCAAACCAATTACAACGAGTGGGGGTGCCCCAGCCCTGGGAAACAGTGGGAACTGCTGATTCAGTGAAATCAGATCCCATCCCTGAATAATGAGTTGCTTTTCCAACCACACGCAGGGTTTCTCTTTCCTTAATACACCCTAGTGAGCTCTCAGTTCCTTTAGAGGGCAGCACGGACCCTCAGTTCAGAAGGGGTCCTGGGACCCAGGGGGGGTGCCAGACTGGTTTGGAGTTATGAGCACCTCTGAGGCCCAATGGCTGGGTGGCCTCGGTGCAGAAACCCAGCCTCAGGGCCAGCTCCTCAGCTGAAAAGCATGACAATGAGCTGGTGCCTCGAGGGGGCCTGCAGGGTTGGGTGAGGCAGCTCGTGGGGTGGGGGTAGGATGGGGGAGGGGGGCTGATCAGCATCTGTTTCCTGAGTGTCAACCCTAAGGGTTTTCCCTCATCTAATGAAAAACAAATGTGGATGAAACCAAGACTGGCGCTCACAAACGTTTCACAAACACAAATGCAGTGCTGGCTTGGGCAGGTCCCTGTGGCCTAGTAGTGAGGACAAAGTGGGTATGACACATGACCCCCCGGGCCTCCCTATGGGAGGATGTGGTTCTGTGGCCCTTCACACAGGACGATGACAGGCCAGCAGGGGCCCAGTAGGGGACAATGTGGCCTTGACTCCCTGAAGCTGGACTGCGGCTGATGGCTGGGCAGCTCCCCTGGTGTCCCTTCACCCCCATCACCTCTTCCGACACCTCTATTCACCTTGGGGTGGCTCCTCGCCCAGGCTGCTGGCCACGATCTCACGGATTCGGGCAGGCAGGGGGGTGGGCGAGGCCTGCCAGCCTTCCCCACGCACGGTCAGCGCCCTGTCTTCTTTGCTGGCTGTGGGGCTCAGGACAGTGTCCTCCAGCCTCTGAAAAACACCCACCCAGAGACACCTGGGGCTGGCAGGTCCTTGAACAGCTGCCAGGCACCCCTATATGAGCCCAGTGGAGTTCATGAGGGTGAGGGGTGACCATAGAGCTCTCCCACAGCAGAAAATGCCCTGGAGAGGACTGGGTGAGGCTGAGGTCACCCAAGACATGTGCTTTGGTTTCTCCACCGTACAGTGGCGTGGCGCCCTGCCTGTCCTGGCACCACTCGGTGAACCAATTAGCAAGTACAGAGAAGGGCCTGTCCAAGAACAGCTAGCCTAGGTCCTCACCACGCCCGCCCTTTGGCACTACTCCCCTTCTGAGGGGCTGGGCTGAGCCTCATATGTGCACCTCTCTAGGGGTGCTGGGAGGAAGGGGCAGTGTGAGGAGAGCAAGGTGGCCCTCCTCCCTAGCCTCCAGAGCAGCTGGCCTGCCTTGGAAGAGTCCAAAGAGACCTGGAAGTGGGCAGCAAATTCAGGTCCGGGGCTTCTGGGACTCTGAGCTGACAGTGCCTTGGCCTGGGGAATCTTTGCTCCACCAAGTCAACAGCAGGGGGAGGGCCTGGTCTTGGGGTGCCCAGACTAGACAGGGGTCTTTCTGTCTGGGTCTCATTGTGGCGCTGACTGTGGGGAGGACGGTCAGGGGCCTTTGAACTCAGGGGGTGAGTGTATAGCCATTTGAAACCAGAGGAAGCCTGTGGATGTGACAGGTGCCAGATAAGATCACCCAGGAGTAAGGCAGGTCTTGGCCACCCGCCCTGCTATAGTCAGGATGTCTGCTTTAAGGCAGGGAATTAAATATGAAAGGGTGACCCGACGATTCTCAAGGGGTTGAGGTGGATGTCCACTCGCAGTGACTCTCCAGGGTGACAAAACAGGGCCCTGCTGTCACCCCACCCCCCGCCCCCAAGTCCCAGACTTACCAAACTGGCCATCTTGGGCCCAGATACCCCCTCCACTGGAAGTCCTCTCCCTCTGGCCTCTCAGTGCTTCCCCCACCAGGTGACTCCCCAAATCTCCTTTCCAGCCCAGGGTCCTGGTGAGTGACCACTGGCCTCCTCTCTGCCTGTCCTTCCTCCTCTGACTTCTTTCCAGTTCTCCCTGAAGATCCTCTCCAGTCTAGATCCCTCTGCCCAGCTCTGACCTCATGCCCAGCTGGCTGGTGGGAGCAGAGGGCCTCCTGGGTGCCCTCCCGCTCCCCAACCTTGTGGCCCCGATTCACTTTCCCTCGGGCCTCTCCTGAGACCCCAGCCTGGAGTCTTCGGTGCACATCCACCTCAAATGCTCCTGGTCCTGACTCTCCATCCCTACCAAACTGCCAGTCCCCCCAAAACCTGGCTCCTGCGTGACATCTAGTGAGGCCGGTTCTGATCCCCAACAGCAGCCCACGGATGGGCAGCCGCTGAACAAACGCCTGGGACTGAATTCCACCGCTGCGCGCGGAGTGAGAGCCCCTGTCCCGGTTCCCCGGAACCAACCCAGCCCTGCTTCAGGCTGGAGCCTTACTCTTCACCCTGGGTTTGAATTTTAGTCCCCTGGGAGGTCTTGGGGAGGAGCCTTCGCTCAACATCCCCCCACATGACCCCCTCAAGCCCTACTCTGGGCGGGTGTGAGCAGCCGGTGGGGGTGGGGGTGGGGGTGGGGAGGAAGGGGAGGCCAGGCCTCCTCTGGGCCAAGCGAGGACCGGGCGCCAAGACCACCAGCCGCCTCTCCGGTGAGCCTGGGAGGAGAGGCGCGGGGGGCGGGCAGGGGGGCTCAGCCACGGCCGCCTGAACCCTTCATTAGCGCGCAGGGAAACTGAGGCCGGCGCGGTGGCGACATCCGCCACCCCCCGCCGCCGGCAAAGGCATGGACGGTGCGTCCAGGAAGCGCCCCTCCTGGGCCAGGCAGGCCTCTGCCCTGGCCCGCCGCCCGCCGCCCGCGCTCCCCCGGGCATCCGCGGCGCCACCCGCTAACGGGAAGGCAGCAGCGCGGCCCGAACTTGACTCATTCCGAGCATTTACAGAGGGTCACTTATTAGCCCAGGCGTCCCGGGAGGCGCTGCGCCTAATGGGTTCCAGCTGTGGCCGGGTGCCTGCGACGGGCCGCGGCCCAGCTGGAGCCGAGGGGGCGCTCGGCCCGCCCGCGGGGTGTGAGGCTGCCCCGCCCCCGCGGAAGCGCGGAGGGGGGAGGGGGAGAGGGGAGGGGGAGGGGGAGGGGGGAAGGGCCGCAGGGGATGGGGCGCGGGGAGGGGCTCCGTCCAGGGCCGGCGGAGCCTGCGCAGACCCGGGGCTCGGACCCCACCGCTCGCGGCCTCTCCCGCCGGCGGGGGTCTGCCTCTGGGGGGCTCACCGTCCGCACCAGCGGGCTGGGGCCCTGGGGCCGGGCCTGGAGGGGGGCGTCCACTCTGACGGGCAGCGCCCTGCCAGCTCCCACGGACCCCGAGGCGGCCGAGGGACACCAGGGCTGGACACCCGTTTCTCCAAAGACCCTGGACCGGACTCTCGGTTGAGCTCGGCCCTGTTCCTTCCTCCGGCCTCCCCAGCGCCGCCGTCCTCCGCTAACCTGCCCTAAAGACCCAGCGAGGTCACAGCTGGGCGGGCCCCCCCGTGGCCTCAGGTGGCCTCTGAGTGGCCCCTGCCTCCGTGGAGGAGAGAGCCTCCACCGGGGAGCACGGGCTCCCCTGTCAGCCCCACCCCATCAGGGCAGGACGCATTTCAGAGAATTGGGCTGGGGACCCTGCTCCGGCCCGGTGGTGTCACCTGCACCAGCCTCCTAGCGCCCTCAACAGAGAGAGGGAGAGAGAGAGAGAGAGTCCCAGAAGAACCCTCTCCCTCACAGCTCTATAGGGTGGCGGGTGCAGTCTCAGGGACTCCCCCCCCCCCCCCCCATTTTCACAGATGAAGAGGAGAGGCGGCTGGGAGGAGGCGAGTGGACTTGTAGGTCAGAAATGGAAATCGCATGGAGGGATCTTGCCATTTCCCCTTGCTGGTGACCAGCACAGAACCCCCTGAGTGGGTCCTTCTGGACCTCCCGGCTGCTAGGGGCACAGGGAGAGACTGCTGATGTCCGGGTCCCCAGGGGAGTGGAGGATGGATTAGGAAAAAGAGGATGAAACTCCCCCACACCCAGACTCAAATTAGGGAGACCCCTGGGCTGTCCAGGTGAGCCCAGTGGCAGGCAGGCAGGGCGGGGCAACAGAATGGCCCCAACTCAACCAGGACCTAGTCCTAGGCAGAGTCACAGTGTGGGGAGAAGGCTGGCCTGGGCCTGGGAGGGGTGGACATGGTGGGTCCAACAGTGCCACCTCGTGGGTGCCAGGGGTGCTGCAAGAGACTGAGCCGGCTCAGCTCTGGGAGGGTGGAGGCCTGGGCTCTGTCCCATGAACGAGTGAGTGCCCTGTGACTGCATCAGTGAAGTGAGGCAGGGCACACCACTCGAGGTTTCTCAGCAAACATTTTCATATCCCTTATCTTGACCCCACAGGGCAGCTTCTCACTTCCACTTTATGGGTGAGGAAGTTGGGGACTTGCCCAGTCATCCTCTCATGTGTGGCAATGTTAGGATCCCGCCTGTGGGCCCCCAAATGCCCTTGGCGGCCGTTACTGAGCCAGCACCTGCCCAGTGGCCAGAGATCAGGATCCAGCAAGCACACTGACCTCAGGTGTTCTCCCCCATGTGGCACCCTCTTGAGCCCATGCAGAGGAAAAGGCGGCCAGGGGCCCGCACAAGCACACTGCCTGCCTTCCTCCACCACCTCTGCCCACTCAGAGCCTCCCGAGCCTTTCCACAGTGGCACACCCACAGACCTCCCTGCACTCCCAGGTGGCTCTGGCCCTCGCCAGGGGTGGGCACAGCTTGAGGAACACATCTGAGGACAGGGCCCCCAGCCAAGTCCAGCCACCGGACGTCTGCTTGCCATCCTTCCGCAGCTTGGCTGCTGCAGAGAGGGCCCTGGGCTGGGGTGGCTGCCCGCCAGGCTCCATTTCCTTAAGAGAAAGAGCTTCTCTGTGTCTGAGGCAGCACCTGGCCCCGCCATGTGTATCTCAGCCCGTCTCAGTTTAGGCCTCTCACGGAGCCCTGGAGCCCTGGGGTAGGGTCATGCCTCTCATGAGTGGCAGTTTGGTCCTCAACTAATAGTACAGGGGAGATCTGGGCCAGGCATTGGCTCAGGCATTGGGGGTGAGGGGGACAGCTCATTCATCTCTGAGCCCCTACCCCAGCCCTCAGCATGATTGATGCTTGGCACACAGCGAGCTCAGAGGGGTCACTACATGAATGACTGAAACCCCAACCTAAGGTATAAATATCACCAACTGCAAAATGACTCATATCAAGGAACACTGGGGAGGGCAATAACCTTGTGGATCATGTTTGCTCCTGTGTCCCCAGTACCCACACAGGCTTCCTGGAGGAGGTGGCAGGCGAATTGGACTTTGAAGGATAAGTAAGAGTTCCACATCCAGAGGGGGCACAGGTCAGATGTCCAGGTGGAGGTAACAGTAGGAGCAAAGCAGTGGGATGGGCCTCCAAAGTCTGCCCATGCACCCACGTGCTGATGTTCACTAGGGGGCCTCAGTCCATTGCGTATGCACATGGAAGGAACCGCATGGTGATCCCCACCCCAAGCTGCACACAAAGGTCAGTTGCACATAGGTGTCAGATTTCCCGGTGAAGGTTAAACAACACAGCTTTTAAAAGGAAACAAGAACGTCTTTGTGGCCTGGGAGTGGGCTAAGTGTGTTTCTTAAACAGCACACAGAGACACTAACATAAAGGGGGAAATTGATGAATTGTGCTGTATTAAAATGATGAGCTTCTGTCCATCAAAATATGCCATTACAGGAGGAAAAGGCCACCCACCTACAGAAGACATTTGCAATGCATGCCTTCAATAAAGGACTTGTTTCCAAATCAATAATAAAAAGAGAAGCCACCACAGTAGAAAAATGGGCAAGATTTTAGAGCAGACACTTCACCAAAGAAGGTACCCAAGGGGTCAATAAGCATGGGGACATATATTCAGCTACACTAGTCATCAGGCAAATGATAGATAGCAAAGCCACAATGTAACATTCAGGAACATTCACTCTAATGGCTATGTAGGAAAATGGTAGGAAGTGCCAAGTGTTGGCTGGGGTATGCAGCAACCAGCCCCTGGCATCCTGTGGCTTGGATGGCACAACCTCTTTGGAAATCCATTCGGCAGCATCCACCAAAACTGCACATACAAAACCTAGGATGATTGTTTGCCCTCCTGGGTAGATCCCCAAAAGAGATGCATACACAAGGCCCCCAATGACACGTTCCAGAATGTTTATGGCCGTGCTGTGCCTGGCAGGACAAATTGGCAGCCACTCCAATGGCTGTTAGCAATAAGCTGGATGAAAAGTATGGAGAACCAGATGGCCGTGAGCACAGTGAGCCACGGCCACGCGTGTTCTGGGGGTTCACAGATGTGCTGCCACACATACAAGCACACTTTCGTTGTGATAAAGTTCCTAAATAGGACACATGAATCTAAGTCAGGGGCTTCTGGCATTCTGATGATGCTCTAGTGCAGCGGTTCTCAACCTGTGGGTCGCCACCCCTTCGGGGGTCGAACGACCCTTTCACAGGGGTCGCCTAAACCATCGGAAAACACATATATAATTGCATATTGTTTTTGTGATTAATCACTATGCTTTATTTATGTTCAATTTGTAACAATGAAATTGGGGGTCACCACAACATGAGGAACTGTATTAAAGGGTCGCAGCATTAGGAAGGTTGAGAACCACTGCTCTAGTGGATGCACAAGGGGGCCAGAAGTGGAAGGGGGTGCAGAGGACGAGGCAGCACCTCTGGCTGGAGGGGTGGGGCGTCAGTAGGCTTCTCTGACGTGGGGAGCATGTTCAGGCCTGGTCGCACATGAGGCCCCCCATCCTCAAGTCACACTGTGCCCAGGCTCCCAGTTTCCCCATCTGCTGCCCTGCCGCCCCGTCTGGACAGGCCCATCTGGGTCTCCGTGGCGCCTGCCTGCTTGCTCACCCCAGTATCGTGCACTGAGATCTCAATCACTGCCAGGCAAATAACAGATGTTGGCCAGGCGGGTGGAGCAGACCTTGTGGGGTTTCTTGTGGCTTCAGATGACAGTTTCCCAGGGCAGCCATGTTTGCCAAGCACTGATGCCCACTGCCCATATCGACGCCATCCTATATTTCTCTCACAAACCAGCCTGTCACCGTGGCAACTTGCTTCCACCCTTGAGCCTCTATTTTCCCCGAATCGAGGGGGGATGATGGAACGCTCAGGGGCAGATGGGGCCACTGGGACACGCTGAAAGTCTTGGACACTCTGTGTGCAAGCCCCTCCCCTCCCTCACCCACCTTTGGTCAGACCCCCTGAGACCCTCCTAAGAGCTGGACAGAGTGTCACCCACCCAGGCCACCTCATTTGTCTCATTTTATCACCTGACTCAAATACCCTCATCACATTCTGTCCTGTGTGGGCACCTGTGTGTGTGAGTGTGTGCATGCACATGCGTGTGGTGACTCCACCGTGTTGCCTAATCTCCTGGCACCAACTGTGGGCAGTTGCTTTTCCCCAGGGACCTGCATTGTTGATGTAGGACCACGTCACCTCCAGAGTGTCGTTCCGAAGTTCCAAGAACTGAGTTAATGGACAACTCTGAGTCGCTGCTGCATGGGCCTTCGCTGGGATGCCCTGGGGTCAGTCAGGGCAGGGACTGCCTGACTGTGATAGCCCGGGGTGAGGGACACCTAAGGGGGTGAGATGGCAGGGATGCCATCAGGTTGGGTCAGGGGTGACGGGGAGAGGGGCATGGGGATAACAACCAGTCATTGTTGTTGTTATGTCAGTGGGGCTAAGAAAGTCAGAACTAGAACTTCTGGAACTCACAGGACAGACATTGGGGACGGTCCCACCCACCCACCCATGGGCAGAGGTGACAAGCAGCTCTGGCAAGGGACTGCCGGCTCCCACACTTCGCCACAAAGGAAGCAGTGAATTAGACCCAGAAGTCAGCCTGGATCTAGTCCCCCCTCCTCACCATGTGCAAGCTGCAAGCCTGAGGCTCAGCGGAAAGGGGCTCACCAGGGGTCTGGGGCCCCAGCCCCCTTTCCCAGTCCGTCTGCGCTGTGTGTGTGTGTCTGCGCATGCGGTTGTGTGCTCTTGCTGACCACGTGAGCTTGTGCAAAGTGCCCCTTGAGCCTAGGAGGCGTGGCCTCTGCAGGGTCCCTTCCCTCTCAAGGTGCCCTTGGAGCCTGCTCCTGGGAGCGTGCTGGAGGGCAGCCACCCCACTGACCTGGATCACGGTGTCCAGCCCCAGCTGGGGCCGCTCGGCTGCATCCCCGTTGCCTGGCTCGCTGGAGGCAGAACTCATTGCAGCTGGAGCACAGGATCCAGGAGAAAGCCGGGCTCCAGTCTGGGCGTCTCCTCCTAGGATCCTGGCCAGGACCTCCTTCAGCTCTTGGCCCCACACCTGTGCAGCACCTGCTCCCCTGTCCTGGGTTCCCAGCTGCCCCCTCTGGGTTGGGACCTTGTGGGCAACTGAAGCTTAGGTGTTGCTGTGGCAACTGGGACGCTGAAGGCTGGGTTTCCCTGGAAACAGGAGTGCAGGCCTTGTTGCGATGGGGACTAAGGAACGCTGTTGTCTGGAAGCTGTTTCCCCCGGAGACCTGGAGACGCCCTGGGAGAAGCTGTCCACCTGAGCAACCACAATCAGGGAGGGGCCGACCTCTCCCCCTGACCCCCTCGCCTGCGGGGAAAGGCCCAGCCTTCCGTTGGCCAGTTGCCCTGGGAGGAATCGTGTGCTTGGTGGCCACAAGCTGTGGAGGTGGCATGCTGACCGCCGCTTCCTCCTGATGGAGAATCAAACCGTGACTCCCCCTGATGTTTGGAGAAGAACCTAGAGTTCAACAGTGCACTGGCATGTAGCAGCTGAGCAAACTGAGGCCTGGGGAGGGGAAGCCACCTGCTCGAGGACCAAAGGAGACCTTGTCTTCCTGGCCTTGTGCTTGGTCACGCCTTCTGGAATCTGATTTCCCTCTGGACCCTTCAGGGTCCCTGCTCCATGAGCAATGCGCCGCATCCTTGCCAGAGGAAGGTCATTTCTGCTCACTCACTGCACCTGCCCAGAGCCACATGAAGGGAAGGCTGCAGGGGCACTCCAGCCAGTGGCACCCAATCCCCATGGGAGAGGTGAAGGAAGAGAGGCAGGGCCATTCGTCAGGGCAGAGAGAGAAGTCTGTCCCTCCCTGCCTGGCCTTTTGGGGCCTCCGGACTGAGTGTGGCAACAGACGTTCAGCCAGGCCAGTGTCCCACCCCACCTGTCTCCCCTCGGGGCCTTATTCCAAGCTGGACCTACCCCAGCTGGGCTGATGCCGACGGGAGTCCCTGTTGGGGAGGGGTGGCGCTGGAGTAGGCCCTAAAGCCAGAAGTGACTATCCCTCTGATGAGAGGAGGCCATTTGGGGGCCCTGGGGATGGGTGTGTCCCTCTGAGGCCACCAGGATGGACACCGCGGGTGAGCATACCTGTGCCCAGTGCTGCAGGAGGTGGGGCAGCCTGAGGGGCCGGGGCACTTCCTCAGAACCGAAGCTCACTGAAGGCTCCTGTGCTCTGTCCTGCTCCTGATGTCCTCAGGGGCTCCGGCCACCCTCCCCTTCCTGAGAAGACAGTTACAAGGGTGCCCCATGCAAAGACAGGCCAGCTCTCAGGGCCAGACACAGCCCCACTGGGCATCGGGGCTGGCGTGGGTTTATGGGGCAGTTCCTAGGGCACCAGGGCCTAGGCTGTCCCTCTGACCCCGGCCCCTCTGGTCTAGTAGTGAGTTCTGGCTCCTGAAGTCACAAAGCAGAGGTCCAGATTCAGAGCCCAGGGGACCGACGCCATGGCTTGGGCATCCTCTTGGCACCCAAGGCTTCCTGCAGCATCCCTGAGTCCTGGAGCCCCTGTGGGCCTGGAGGATGAGCCCAGAGGAGCTTGGGAGGGGCAGGCCAGCATTTCCTGCTGCTCAGAGGCTGGACCTCCTCTGACAGGAGGATGTGGCCCTGTCCTCTGGTGAGAGTTCCTGCCTTGGGCAGGGGGGAGGGGGTACCAGTGTAATTTGGGTGCTTAGGCCATGCGGGGTGAGATACTGCAGAGGTCGGTGTGTCCATCTGTGAAGGTCACTTAGATGAGTCTAAATAAGGCTCCAGTCACTGGAAACCGTGACAGTTGGTGCCTTGAGGTGGGTGGGGCCATCCTACCATGCCCCTCCCCCCACCCTGATCTCAGCTTGCCCACTCCCCCTTGACCCCACCCTGCATGCTCTCCTCGGGGAGCCTTCTCCGCCCCCTCAAGGCCCACACAGGGTCTGTGCATACCCTGGAGCCTCACTGCCTGGTGTCCATGCTTGCAGCTTCTGGGCCTGGGCCCTCCATGGACTAGGAGGAGAACTGAGGGCAGAGTCAGCGCTGAGCCTGGGCACAGCCCCAGGGAAATTTCTGGAATGAGTAGATGTGATAGGAGTCTTCACCATGCAGGTCGCTCCTCTGTGGGATGGACGGGCAGGCAGGGAGGCACGGCTGGTCCTGACCCACATCCTGACTGAGCTGGACTCAGCCAGCCGGGGCCCTGAACTGCCTGCTCCCTGGGGTTCAAGAAAGTGCTCAGAGGGCAGGCAGCCTCGCTCACCACGTGTCCAGAATGTGCTTGCCTCCCCTTGTCTGTGCAGAAGGCCCTCACAGATGGGCCAGGGCTGGGTTTTGTCCTCCAAGCGGGAAACTCACTGGATTTCACTCGGCCCCACCGTGTCACTCACAGACTGCATTTCCAGCTCCCCTGGGACAATCCAAGTCCTGGCTGGGTCTGGCCCATGTGTGGGCCCGGGGGACACAGGGGTGGGGCAGGACTAGGGAAGGGGAGGCAGAACTCAGCTAGCCTCACCTTTTTCTGTCTCCTGCTGGCCCCAGGGACACCAGAATTTGCCACCCCTGGCCCAGATCCTCTCTAAGAGGAGAGGGGACCTCAAAATTCACATGAAAGCTTTTGTACTTCCCGGTGCATGGCCAGTCACTCCTGCCCTTGATCAGCCTCTCGTCCTCACCCTGACAGACAGGCTTGCTGTGGGTGGGACACTCAGTTCTGACGCGTCCTCCAAAGACGGGTCATATGGAGGACAATCGGGGAAGAGGGTGAGAGGCCACAGAGGAATGTGGTGCCCCCTGTCCCAGCCCTCTGGGCCTCCAGGCTGCCAGTCCCGCGCCAATCAGCTCTGGCATCTGCCTGTCTTCCCACCCCTGTCTGTACTCTTGGCGACTCTGCCCTGGGGACCGGTACTCTCCTGCACTCCCTACAGACATCTCTCCCAAAGGAGAGGAGTGGTTCCTGCCTGTGGCTGTGGCTCAGCTGAGAGACGGTTCGCAGTCTCTAAGGGCGCGTCCCCTGCAGGTGCCAGACAGGAAGCAGGCTGTGCATTCCTCCGTTGAACCAAAATACAGCCCTGCTCGGGACAGTGGCTGGGGCACTGGCTCCGGCACCGCCCAGAACTGCTGACTGGGGCCAAGGCTGACTGTCCTCCTGCCCCATGGGTAGGTGCCCAGGCCCCTGGTGTCTGTGTTCCCCTGGCCATCTGTCCATGTCTGAGGCCTGGTTTTGGGGACAGCAGTGGAGACCCTGTAAAGGGGTGGTGGGATCAGGGAAGACACTGAAAGGCTCACAGTGGGGACACTACCAGGTCAGCCTCTCAGGGTCACCCCAGTGGACCCCTGGGCATATGTGCTGCAGGAGAGAACTCTCACTCCCTTCCCTCTCCATCCAGCTCTTGGGGCCTCTCTTTGCCTCTGGCCCCCTGCCCAGAGGACCACAGGGGGCTATCAGCCCTGGTTGGTGGGAGGAATCCAGACTGTGGTCAATCCTGAGAGGTTCCTTGGGACAGAACCCCCCTGCATTCATCTATTCAAAGGGTTGCCTGAGGAGGATGCTAAGCATGCTGTGGGGGCCCATCCTGGGGCAGGGGTACGGGGGTGACTCATGGACCCTGCCCTCTGTCCCTTGCTTTCATGGGGTGGCTAAAATGAAATCCCAGACACTGCATTGCAATGAAGAAAGGAGCTTGGGGCAGGGGGGGAGGGGGGAGGAGGAGCTCTGCTGGGGTGACTGGAACTTGGAGCTGTTAGGGCCTTAAAGCCCTGCCGAGCACCTAAACGGAAGAGCTAAGGCTGTATGACTCTTAGAAGAAAACACGGGGGGAAATCTTCACGGCCTTGGAGTTGGCAACAATTGCTTAGATATGACACCAAAAGCACAGGAAATAAAAGAAAAGAAAGACAAATTGGAAAAATTAAAAACTTTGTGCTTCAAAGGATGTTATTGAGAGTGAAAAGGCAGCCCAGAGAATGGGAAAAAATACTTGCAAATCATGAATCTGATATTAGATTTAATGACCAGAATACACAGAGAACTCTTATAACTCAACAACAAACCCCCCAAACACCTTAATTTAAAAGTGGGTAAAGGACTTGAATAGACATCCCCAAAGAAGATACATGACTGGCCAACCAGCCCATGAAAAGATGCTCAACAGTGCCTGTGATGGGAAACGCCAATCAAACCACACCACAGTGATGCCTCTTCATCCATCAGGATGGCTGCTGTCAAAACCCCAGGAAATAACAGTGTCAGGAGGGTGTGGGGAAACTGGAGCCCTGAGCACTGTTGGTGGGAACGTAAAATGGTGCAGCTCCTGTGGAAAACAGTAGGAAGTTTCCTCAAAAATTAAATGTAGAATTCCCATATGATCCAGCAATTCCACTTCTGGGTATACACCCAAAAGAATTGCAAGCAGGGTTTCGAAGAGATATTTGCAAACCCATGTTCACAGCAGCATCACTCACTACAGCTAAAACATGGGAGCAACCCCCGTGTCCATGGACAGATGAAAGAACAAAGAAAATGTGGTGCATCCACACAGGGAACATTAGCCTTAGAAAGGAAGGGAATCGTGACACCGGCTACCACATGCATGTAAGTGGAATCATACCATCTCCATCTTCTTCTGGTTGGCTGATTTCACTCAGCACATATCCTCAAGGAGCTCCTACTCCTCACATACGTGAGGCCCTTGCAGGATCCGAGTCACAGAGACAGAAGGTGTGATGGTGGGTGCCGGGGCCGGGGCAGGAGCTGGGGAGTTTGTGTTTAATTGAGACAGGGTTTCATTTTGGGAAGAAGAGCTCTGGAGATGGATGCTGATGTTGGTAGCACAGTGTTAATGTCCTGATGTCACTGAATTGCACAGTTAAATGATAAGATGATAAATTTTCTTACGTTTATTTGTCACAATAAAAAAACCCGAATATTCCAACCCTGCCTGCAGCACCAGGGGCTGGATCTTCTCCCACACATGGCAGCCACAGCGGAGGTCTAGTGGGTTCCCGAGTCCAGGCTGTGCGATAGATTCCACCCTCTGGGGGAGGGTTGGGGGGAGCTCCGGTCTGGCCCTGTGCTGACTGAATGGCCCCTGGCTGCTCTGTGTGGCCCCACTCAGGGCCACGCCCACTTGAGCCCCTTCTCCACACCACCCTTTCCCAGCCCCGTGCGGAGCTCCCTGGAGCTTTCCTGTCCCCATAGGCCCCTGCCCACCTCTGTCCTGGCTGCAGCTGCCGCTGGCCTCCTTCCTGCTTTGCAGATCTCCACGGCTCAGCTGTCTGCTCCTCACTTCCTTCTGCCAGGGTCCGAGGGCAGGCACCTCCCCGAGGACAATGCTGGTCGGCCACATACCTGCTTCTCCTTCGGTGGCCCTGAGCATCTACAAACAGCTGGACAGCCCCCACCAGACAGGCTTACCCCTCACAACCCCAGCCCATGTTCTGTAGGGAAGGGTCTTCCTGCTTCGCCAGCCTCTCCATGAACCTTGGGGTGAGTTGTCCCGGCACCTCCTTCCACACCTAGTCCTGCCTGTTTCCTGCCTTGAAGGAGCGGCAGGGGTGGAGGAGATGGGCACACCCAGGAGCTGGGTCTCTGTGGGAGGAGGATGCAGGCCAGCGCTGGCTGTGTCACATCGGGGCTTGGGACTCCTCCCGAGGGGCCTGGCTTACCCTCTCAGCAAGCCCCTCACCACGTAGGGATTTTCACTCCTCACCGGGTGCTGAGACGCGGGGGTTTGGGTGGAAGGCCCCTCCCGCCCTCTTGTCAGCACCTCTGGGAATTCCTGAAATACAGGATCTGTGCTCTCGCCTTGAATTACATGGAGGTGGAAGCTGGACAAACATGCAATCGAAGTTGTTGTGTGAGCTTCGAGCAATCCCCTTCCTGAGCCACCAAGGCCCTGATGGAACGATGGAACGCTTCCGATATGCCCACACCGGGTCCTGCTCCCCTCACTCACCACACCACCCTACTGGGCTCTCAGGGTGGTGGGCTGGGCTGTGGCCTGCAGGTCTCTGGCCAAACGCTTCCCAGGTGAGCAGGCATCTGCATCTCCTGTGCCAGCAGCCCGGTCCTCCCCGCTCTGCCCTGCCTGGTCCAGGTGCAGCTTATGACCATCTTCCTGGCCTTCACCTGTCCACAGCTTCAAGGCCTTGTCCAAGTGCCTGTGGCCACCTTCATGTGGGCTCCAGGACACACTGAAGACCATTCCCCACCCAGGGAGACAGTGGCTGACAGTGTGACCCTCTGATTTTGTCCCCCTCCCAACTGCCAGTGCTCACAGGGCCACTCCCCTCTCCTCCTCCCCTAGCCTAGCGGGGAGGACCCCTGCTCCACTGTCTCCTGATGGGCAGCTGGTGGGGTGTGGAGCTGGAGCTTGTCCTGACTCAGAGCCCTGGGCGCTTTGGGTAGACAGGGGTCCATTTGTCTCCTGGGCAAGTTCAGAGACAGTTGTAAGATTCCTGGGAAAGTGGAGGAACATGAGAATCCCGAGAATCCCACTCGCAGACAAGGGAAGCCACTACAGGAACAGGACCCAAGCCTGAGAGTCAGGATGAGGGCTGCAGGACCAGCTCCCCTGCAGCCTCGTCCCTCCCTCTAGGCCAGAGTCCCTGGAGACAGGGGGGCCATGCAAAGCAGTGTGTGCAGGGAAAAGATCGGGATGCAGGTGTTATGTGAGGTCCTGGGGGAGGGGCAGAATGCTCTGGGCAACCCCCAAGGACAGTGCTGGGCCAGGTTTGAGGAGGGAAATGTCTTGTTTGATTGTGTCGTGGGCTCCAGTCAGGTGGGGAGCTCCCCGTCCTAGGAGGCATGGAAGCAGAGACCCATTCACTGGGGCTGCAGCTCCACAGAAGGGCTTCCAAGCACCAGGAAGTGAGTGCCTTGGATCCGGTTCTGCCCACAGCTCTGACTCAGGCACACCATCTGACTCAGGCACGCAGCTCCCGGGTGGGCTGCAGGGGTGGGAGGGCATGTTTGCGATAGCTGTCAGCCTTCTCCATGGAGCCGTCTCCACGTTTGCTGTTTACAGAAGCTCCAGGGGGCGCGGGTGTGTGTGTGTGTGTGTGGGGGGGGGGGGGGTACCTGAAGCACAGGGCCAGCCTGGAGGGGCCAAGGGTCATAGGGGCGGCTCCCACCTGCTGGTTGGGACTTGCTCAGCCCTGAGCAGAGAGGCAGTTGGGCTGGGCAGGGTGCCCAGCACAGGTGCTGGAGGGGCTGGCAGGCGGGGCTTTTCAGCCCCAAGAGGTGGAGCCAAGGAGACTTCCCCTAGAACCAGACTCACTCCAGCTCCAGGCCCAGGTGGGTACTCTTCTCAAGCTGAAGGCCAGGTGGGGTGGGGGACAGGAAACTTGAGGGCCCAAGGCTGGTGGTGGGCATCAGGGGGCACTGGACACAGGCCTTGCAGGAGCAAGGGGCAGGATTCACACCTGGACTTTGGTGGGCCCCAAGTTGGAAGTTCCCAGCTTCAAGGGGGGCACAGGTACCTGAGGGAATGCTCAGGTTACTATGGAAATGCAGTCCCCAGCTCTGGCCTGAGGCTGTTACTTTTAGGATGCCTCAGAGAGAGACAGCTGGGAGGTGGTGGCCCCAGAGACGGCCTCCACACTCAGGGGGCCCTGCCTCACCTTTCACATCTCAGCAAAAGGGGATATCTTGTGTCCAAATACCAATCTAGTGGGGTGGTGGTGGTGGGGTGATGTCACAGAGACCCTGAGGCTGCTGCCACTGGGATAAGGATGGGAGGGGGGGACAAAAACAGGCCCCCGCCTCCAGGGACAGCACAGTAGCAGGGTGGGGGTAGGGGGGAGCCAGGCCCAGGAGGGTGGGAGTCTCAGCTTGAATGTGCCGTGGGCCTAGAGACTGAGGCAGTGTGAGAGAGGGAGGTGCCCAGCGAGGCCGCTCCCCCTGTAAACAGGCCCCCTCTCTGCCTGCCCCTGTGGCATTCCTAATTGTTGATGATTGACTCACCCTCACTTCAAAGGCTTGGGCCAAGTTCAGCTATTTAACCTGCTGCACCCCACATCACTCTGGAATTCTGCTCTGCGGGGAGCTGGTGCCCCACCTGCGGACCTGCTCCTCACCTGGGCAGGTGCCTCCTCCTGGCTTCGGCACAGCCCCTCCAGGGCTATGTCCTCTACCCTGGCCCCAGCCATGGCCGTGCAGGTGCCCCTGTGGCACCACTACCTGCAGGCCATCCGCTCGCGGGAGGCCTCCCGAGCGCAGGACTACCAGCGTGCAGAGAACGTGCTGCTCACCGTGCTGGAGCGCGTGCATGCCCAGGACCCCCGCTTCCTTGTGGATTACTCCCGAGACCTGGAGGCCTTGCAGTTTGCCCTGCGCTCCTCGGACAGCCCAGTGGACATGGAGGTGCCTCTGAGGGTGGACGCGGAAGCCCTCCTGAGTGAGGAGCCAGGGGCCAGCGAGATGGGTGATGGCCCCGTGACCTGCCGCCTGGGTGTCCCTAGAGAAGGGGCCGGCTTGGAGCAGTGGGTGACTGACGACGTCTTCACCGCCTCCTTGAACAGCAGCGCCAAGTGCTGCGGCCACATTGTGCCCAGCAAGGTCCTGCACGTCCTCAAGGACCTTCTGGTGGCTGCCATCGTGCACTGCAAGCACCATGGCCTCATCACGCCAGGTAGTGGGCAAGCTCTCTGTGCACGAATGAGTGCATACGTATGATGGTGGTGTGTGCACGCACACCTGTGTGAGTGCTCAGTGTGTGTGTCAGGGGCACACGAGTTGGGGACATTGCTCTGAGTTCTAAGAAGACATGTTTCATGTTATTTGAGTTTTACATGGTGATTTTGATAGTGACAGTAACATTTTAAGGGATGCTACTTTGTAAGCGGCTGGAAACTATGACCAGTGTGCTGTTTTCCAGCTGATTTGCTTCAGGAGGGTCCCTGATGCAGTTCTGTTGTCAGTCCCAGCTGGACCTGACAGTCCTCCCAGCTGTCCTCACATCCAGCCTCTGGTCACATTGTCCTGGGACAGGACACTGTGTGTGTGTGTGACTGTGGTATTGTGAAGGCATGTACATGTGTGAGTGTGCACACATGTGAGTGTGGGTGTGTGCATACATGCACATGTGTGCACAGGACTGGTTCAAGTTATGGCCCGGTTGCTAATTGATGTCTTGAGCCCCAAGTGGGATCGGTGGCAGGTACCTTCAGATGAGCCAGGGGTCTGGCCTCAGTCTCTCCTCTGGTGCCTTGTTGATGTGGTCTGGATGGTGGCCCACTCAAGGTGGGCAGGGCCAGGAGTGGCAGGCTCCCTGCTCCCCAGGACTATGAGGGGCTAAGCACAGGTGCGGGTTGTACAGGGCCCAGGACAGTGGGGCCTGGGGTGAGGAAGTCCATCTTCCTGGGGGTCAGGAAAAAGACATCAAGTTGTCCTGACAGGCAATTAGGGACTGAAATAGAAAGTCCTGCCTCCTTGGGAGGGACAGATACGCGTGGGGGTGGCTGCACCTGGTATTAGTTTGGACCTCACATCTGCCATTAGGTCAGTGAGTGGGGATGGTCAGACCCCTGACGGACGGTGACCTGCCCCAGGCTGCCCAGGTGTGGAGCCCAGGTGTGGAGCCCAGGTGTGGAACACAGGTGTGGAGCCCAGGCTCCGGCCCACCTGGTGACATGGTGACCTTAGCCACCTGGGCAGCCCACAGGACCAACCTTCTTCCTGTGGGTTCTAGGGAAGCCGGGCATCCTCCATGCTGATGTAAAGATTCAGAAGGAGGCCAGGCTTCTGGATAGACTTGTAACACAGGAGGGGTAGCTTCCCATCCCAGTCCCTCCCCAGACCTGGCTGGTGACTTGGGCAGTTGGCCCTAATCCCAGGGCTGATGACGGACACTGCCCTCACAGAGTGGCCGGGCCTGTCATTAGCTGCTCCTAAAGCCCGGCCTGCAGACATCTTAGCTGACCATCTCTGAACCTTCCAATTATCGAAGGCAGCACTGGCAAGGCCTTTCTGTCTTCTTCTGAGACCTAGCCTGGCTGTTCCTACCTGGTCCTGTCACCTTCAGGCCCTCCGTCCTGCCTAGGGGACAGACCCACCAATTGGTTGAGCACAAGGTTCTGCCCAGCCCGGGGTCCTTCAGGCACATTCTAGGCTGCCAGGCCCCTCCTCACCTTCCCCAGGTCCCCTCATCCTGGCTGAGAAGGCAGCCACACCCAGGGGCTGGCCACCTGCATGCAGGAAAATTCCAAGCATTGTTTCCTGACACCTCCCTTAAAAGGAAGTGTGCAGCTGCAGGTGACAAGGTTCAGGCTGTCCACCCCACCCCCAACCCCACCCTGGGAGCTCCTGGGAACTGTGACACCAGGCCAGACTGGTAGGGAGTGGCTGGGATGGGTGGCAGGTGTGGCTGGCTACCTTCCAAGCCACCATTTCATGGACAAAATGTGTGACCATTGGTAGCTAAGGAAATGAAGTCACCTGTGGCTTTGCATGACAGGTGCCTCAAATGGTAAAAGGGTGGGACTGGGGATCACGGAACCCTTCTCTCCCTTTAACTGATGGGAAAACTGAGGCCCATTCATGGGATGGAGTAGCCCAGGTGGCAGGGACAGGACCAGCCCTGGGCTGGGTCCCAGGAGGTGGCCTAAGAGCTGCCCTGCAGGAGATTAGGAGGGGTATACAGATGGGGTCCTGGTTCCTTTCTGGAGGACCCCCCAGGGCCCTGGACTCTCCAGGGCAGACTGTGTGCTGTAGGACAGGGGGAAGGACAACTGAGGGAGAAGGCTAGTGTGCCGGTATCCCCCACCTCTCGAGCCCCAGTCCCATGACCCCATGGAACGCCCCTTCTGGGTGGTCTGGGGCCTCTGTGAAGGGGAGTAGGCTCTGGGCTGGGCCCCATGAGGCCTGAGTGGGAAGGGGATCAGGAAACATTTTTGCTAGAATGTTCTGTCTCCCCTACCCCCCAGATGCCAGTGGAATTTAGGGCAGCCAGGCTTGTCCACTGTGAGCCTTCAGGGAGGGCCTCCTGGGTGCTGGGCACCAAGCCTGCTCCTCCTAACCCCAGGCCTTCAGGGGCATTGTTCATTCCCTTCTGAGCAGACTTGTCCTTCACTTCCCAGCCCTTCCCATGAGGGGTGTCTGAGCTGGCAGACAAGCCACTCAGAGAGAAGTGTTAGAGCCCTCCTGACCTTCCTCCTTGAGAGAGGGGCAGGTCTCAGAACCATCTGGGGCATTGTGGGGGGTGGAGGGTTGGGCTGGTGGGCCCTTGGACCCAGCCAATGGGGCAGTGGCCAGGACCACTGGCCGAGGGCCCTGCCCTGGGGCAGACCTGCTCCTCTTGGGTTGTGGCCTCTCCTGGCCCAGCCTGGGCAGCTGCTGCTGCCCCTCCTCCAGCAGAGAGGGCTGCAGGGGACATGGCCATGGGGTGGAACAGAGCCCGGGTCAGGAGGGCCTGGGGAGATGCCCATAGGGAAGCCTCACTGCATCCTCACTGCACAAGTCAGCCGCTGGGTTGTGGGAACAGATACCACAGCCAGGTGCTTAAACAACTTAAATTTAGGCTGGAAGTCCAAGGCCACGGGGTGGGCAGAGTTGGTTTCTCCTGAGGCCTCTGGCCAGTCCTCACATGGCTTCTTCTCTGGGTGGGATTCCCTGGCATCTCTTCCATAAGGACCAGACGTATCAGATTAGCACCCACCCTGATGGCCTCATTTCGCTTCCCCTTTTCTAAGACCCCCATCTCCACATACAATCACAGTCTGAGCTGCTGGGGGTTAGGGCTTCCACACCTGAGTCTGAGGGGACACAATTCTGCCCATAACAGTCGTGCAGGCACCTGCTGGGCCAGCCCCACGCCTGGCTGAGGTTCCGTGTTGATACAGGTGTTGGGGGATGGAGGGGCCTGCGGGTGTGGGCCTGGACAGGGCCAACAGGGATGCAGGTGAGGGCCGAGGAGTGTCTTGGGAAGGCAGGGTTAGGCACGGATGAGGGGCCAGCAGGGCGGTCATTGCAGGTTCTCTGAAGGCGGACAGCCTGAGGGAGGAGGCGCTTCACCTGTCGCTGCTGGTGTCCAGTGGCTGGAGGACAATCCGCTTCAATGTGGTGCCCGTGGTGCGGTGGAAGCACAGGGTGCCTGTCCTGGAGGGGGCCCAGCGGGCGCCCGGGTTCCCTGAAGGCAGCTTGAAAAGGATCATCAGCCAAGAGGTGGCCCTAGTGCCCGCCAGCGCCCAGCTCTGGAGGTAGGAGGCACCTCCTGGGTCAGTGGGGTCCTGGGGAGTGGGCAGGGAGGGTCACACCCCGCTGCTCCGTGGGCATCTCTACCACACAGAGGTTATAGGAGTGTCAGGGGAATTCAGGGCACCCCTCCGAGCTTTGGGGAGTGGGCTGTGTGGTGGAACCCTTCATGACCAGCCCCGTGCACGAAAGCAGCAAAGAGGTCAGGTGGCTTGTCCAGGGTCCCGGCAGGTTCCAGGAGCAGCTGGGCGAGTGGTCAGGATCTAATGAGACAAAGTAGCACTGGGGCTTCACTCCATCTGGGCTGCTCTTCCCGATTAGTGTCCCCGCTCCCAGGAGTCCCCCACCCAAGGTAGTTAGTTGTGATGTCCTCTCCCTGGCCCGGCTGAGGAGCCCAGCGATCTCGGGGAGGGTGGCATCTGCTGGGAAGGGAGCCCGAGAAGGTTCTGTGGGAGGGCGGGAGGGAGTGGGGGGCACAGGGCAGAGGCTGAGCTCCCTGCAGACCCCACACCAGGGCCCGGCGAACCCCATTGGGATCTACGCTGCTTAACTGCAGCGGGCACACAGGTCACCATGACTTGGCCAGCTCTCATGTCCGGGGTGAAGTATGCACGTGGGTGATGTTTGTAAAACTGGTTATGCCTTTTTGTGGTTTTCTGCTGCTCAGAAAGGCTCAGTAGAGCACCTGGGAGCCACCCACCCACCTGGCCCATCTTTGCACAGAGCAGGGGCTGTGTTCAAGCTAGTGATGACGCCGGCTGCCGAGAAAGGGGAACAAGGGCTGGGCTGAGCAGTCATTTTTTGCAAGTAAATGGCCTTTCCTGTGCTCTGCCCACCACAGACTCAGGGGGCAGTTGCCATCCAGTGTTGAGACTGCACACAGAGTGGGGACCCTGAGGGCACCATGCCCAGGTCGCACCCTCAATCACCCAGCAAGCACACAGCTAGTGCCTCTGGTGTGCCCTGTGGCACTGCTGGGAGCAAGATTCTGAGCCCCTTTGTGGCCTGAAGCTGCCCGGTAGAGGCTGGCTGCCAGAGTGGGGCATGGAATGAAGACATCATACCTGCCAGGCTGTGGTGGCTCCTCCCACACCCCTGCCAGGAACCAGAAACCTCAGCTGCTCCACCCTGGGCTGCTGAGAGTGGCACCTTCCAGTCCCCATAAAAAGGCTTGACTAGCCCAGAGGCTCCCCATGTCCCTCCGTGCTCTGTGTCTATGTGTCAACCAGACATTTCACACTAGACAGCCCTCTGCATGCCATTCCTGAAACATGCATGAAGCCCGGCTACATGCATCCTGCTAGCCGCTGCCAAGGCCTGGGCTGTCCCCTGGGGCTCAGGAGCTGCCCATCCTGGGGAGGCTTTCCTTTCTGGGAATACGCTGTGGATGCAGGGTGCCATGACACCTGGCTGAGGCCGAGATGCCGACCATGAGTGGTGTGTCTGTCTGGGCTCCCAGGGTCTCCATGGACTACCTGCTCACCAGGCTGCTTAGTGCCCTGGGCTCCCTGCCGGGCCACCGCCTGGACAGCCTCTCCGTCCTGGACCGGGTCAACCATGAGAGCTGGTGCGACAGCGGCCAGAGCCCCGGCCTCACCTTTGATCACCTGAAGGTACATGTGGGGCTTAGGAGCCCTGTTCCCACTCTGCTGGGCCTTTGTCTATCACCAGGGGCCCGGGGCAGGGGACCCCAGGTTGGGCCCTTGGGCCGGCTCTGACCGGTGCACAGCCTGGAGCAAGCTCTGAGTCAGAGGCTTCTGAGGCCTTGCCGGGTTCCCGGAGGCCCAGGCTCACAGTGACATCTGGCTGCTGAGTGCGGTGGCACCTCAGACCCGCCTTTGCCATCCCAGGGCTGGTGACCCCGGGGGTTCTCCTGGCCCTTTGGGTTGGATGGCACACAGCCAGACTGCCCACCAGCTCGTGTCAGCCCTGGGAGACCCCTGTCCTCCGCCCTGGAGTCTGTGAATGTTACCGGCCAGGATTCCCTCTCTGAGTGGAGCCAGCCCAGCCCTGGCACCCCTCCTCTGCTGCCCAGTGGCTCCGTGACAGCACTGGGACAGTGTCCTCCTAGGGCTGGGCACTGCCAGGCGCTGGAAAAGTAGGGGCAGGAGCTCACAGGGTGGTGCAGGGGAAGTGGGTGGGCCATGGAGTCTTGGGGTCTCTGCCCAGAATGGGTAGTGGGAGGCCTCAGAATGCTCCTCCATGACACGGGTCGAGGGTTAAGAGACGTGGTCCAACCTGGTGCAGAAGAAACTCTACCAGGAGTCCCCGTGCGACCTCAAGCCACTCACCGTCCCTCTCAGAACTCCATCCCACCCCCTGAGGGGGTGCCAACTTCTGAGGGGGTCCTTTGGAGTCTGACACAGGGTGGCTCCTGCAGTGAAGTAAGGGTAGTGGGACGGCAAAGGGAGAGGGGACTCAGGACCAGGGGTGGGAGGGCAGCCAGATAAGTCTAATTGTGGCTTTCAGACATATTCTGGGCTCAGGAGTCCTGGGCACACAGACTAGGGCAGGGACTGTCATGGAATGGGGCCCTTAGGGTGGAGCTATAGGGCATGAGTAGGAGTTCAGTGGGAGTGGGGCGTGAGGAAAGGGCCAGAGGGTGGGTAGGAGCCTCAAATCCCCTCAGAAGGATCTTGGTGGCTGGTGTTGGGGTGCCAGGGAGGCATGGAGAGGAGGCTGGGTGGGGACCTGCTCAGCTGCAGTGCCCTCCTGCCCCCGGGAGTCAAGGGAGGCACCATGGTGGGCACAGCAGGTGGGAAGGGTCTAGGACTCACGCTGGGGCACCCAGGGGAGGTATAAAGAGTGGGGGGAAAGTGCCTGTGGGCAGGGTCTTCTGGGGGTGAGGAGAGGGGGGAGGGCTGGAGGGTCCGTCCACATCCCGTCCCCAGGGCCTGACCCACTGTCTTCCCAAAGGCTGTGCTGCTCTGGGCCTCGGTGCTCTTCCCGGCGCCCGAGGACTGGGCGGAGCTGCAGGGCGCTGTGTACCGCCTGCTCGTGGTGCTGCTGTGCTGCTTGGCCACCAGGAACCTGCCCCACTTCCTCCACCCCGAGCACAACCTGCTGCAGGACACCAGCCTGGACCTCAATGCCCTCTACCAGCGCGTGGAGCACTTCGCCAGCCAGCCTGAGGCGTCCCTGCGCATCCACGTCACCCACCTGGGCCGCAGCCCCCCGCCGCGCATCGGCCACGGGGTCAAGGCGCTCCTGCAGCTGCCCGCCAGCGACCCCACCTACTGGGCCACCGCCTACTTTGATGTCCTGCTGGACAAGGTGGGCACAGACAGTTGAGGGGGCCTTGGGCAGACCTCTGCCAGGGTCAGGAGCTTGAGCAAGGAGGTTGGGTCAGGTCAGGCCTCTAGACAGCTTCGGTCAGGAAAGGATGTGACATTGGGATCAGATAGGCCATGACTGCCCCCTGCCCACCAGTGGCCCCACAGGCCCAGGACCGCTATCTCGGAAGTAGGGAAGCATGCCCAAGCCTGGCCCTTGTTCTCCCCAGAACCACCCAAACCCACAGTGAGAGCACTCAGAGCCCCAGCAGCTACCCTGGGCTCCATTCCTCCTGAAGGGGTGTGGCCTCTGTGGGCCTCATCGGCAGGTTCCCTGGACCCAGCAGCCCCATGCCATGTCCCTTGGCATTTAGGGGGTGCCTGTCTGCTCCACCAGCTGCCCCTCTCAAGCCCCAAGGTTCTACCAGCTCTGCTGACCCTCCCTTCCCCCGTCCCTGGGAGTCCCCTCCTACTCCTCCCCCAAGGGCTATCCCCACCTTCATGCCAAAGAGCCAACATGTCCCCTTCCAGGGTACACTCAGGGACATGGAGTGATGGTAGCGGGAAGGGTAAACCATATTCAGGCCTCAGCAAGCACCTGCCCAGGCCTCCTTGGTGTCAGGCCATCCAGGGACACCTGGGTGTGAGGAAGGCCCTAGGCAGGTCCAGCTTCAGGGAGGACTGTCCAGGTGAGACCCAGAGGCAGGAAGCCCAGTGGTCAGGGACAGGTGCTGTCCCATGCTGTGCCTGGGGCCCAGTGATGGACTCCCAGATGTCTCTGTGACCCCTCTGTCCTTGCCCTGCCCGCAGTTCCAGGTCTTCCACATCCAGGATAAGGACCGGATCTCGGCCATGCAGAGCATATTCCGGAAGACCAAGACCCTGGGCGGTGAGGACAGCTGAGTGGGTGCCTGGGCTCTGCCGCTGCTGCACTGCCCCATGGAGGCTCCTGGGACACGGGCAGAGGCCTTCACCTTGAGGCGGGTGGTGGGTCTTGGAGGGACTTTGTCCGGGGGGGGTGGCCTCATAGGAGTCTAAGAGTGCAGGACAGTGGGCCCCTGGGAGCAGCTGCCTTGTCTCCAGGGGCGAGGGGCGTGTGCTTCTTGTGTCCATCCACCTGCGTGGTGCCATCAAGACTCAGAAAACTCAGTGTCTGGACCTGAGGACTCATCCCGTCTGTGTCAAATGCCACTCCATGAGGTGAAATACTACGTGTCTGATCTGGAATAAATTAATGCACTCCCAGGGAATAGCAAGAGTTCTTGTACCTGCCCACCTACCACAAGCACAAGGATGGGGCCTGCAGCCTCACTGGATTCTGGAGATGCGGTTACCTCCTTGGGGAGGTCCATTTGTTGGCTGGCTCGGAGATGGTGAGTTCTGAGTGGGTCAAAGCACAGATTGGCTGTCCAGCAGGTTCATGGGCTGGGGTCCCTGGAAAACCCTAGCATGGAAGCTGAGGTTCTGCAGCAGAGAACGATAGTTCACTGTTCAAAGCACAGTGTCTGGTACATGGGGCCCCACGGAGGATGGGCCCGACCACAGAACCCAGGCCACTGCGTGCCCCCACGAGCTCCGTGTTATAGGTCCTTGCAATGAAGCAGGAAAACGTAAGTAAAAGGCATAGATATTGGAAAAGAAGTATAAAACTGTCATTATTCATAGGCAACATGATTATGTACATAGAAAACCTTAAGGAATTCACAAAGAAACTACCAGACTTGTTAATTTAACAAGTCAAGAGATACAAGGTGAATAGAGGAAAATGAACTGTATTTCTATATATTACAAGTAAACCACTGGAAATAAAAATTTAAAAATACCATTAACAACAGCGTGAAAATATCACACATGCAGAAATATATCTAACAAAGGCTATGTGAGACTTCCACACTCAAAGCTAGAAACAGTGCAACATACGATCTCAAGCAATCCAAATTAATGTTTAGGTCTTTAGAATTTTTAAACTAAAAATTTATAATATGTTGATGCTTTCCATTGTACGTAACTTGATACATAGATTTAGTGCCAGTCCATCAAAACTCCGACACACTCTAGATAAGACAATTCTAGAATTTACGTAGAAATTCAAAGGCTCTCGGACAGGAGAAACAATTTTGAAATATCAAAACTGGAGGATTTGAACCGCCTGACTTTAGACATACTAGGAAGCTGCAGTGATTAAGACAGTGTGGCGCTAACGTGAGGATAACTAAATGCAACAACACAAAATGGAGAGACCAGAGCAGACCCATGCATGTGGTCAGCTGACAGAGTGGCCCAGCCCATCAATTAGCTGGGGAAGGAAAGTCTGGTCAGGGTGGGTGAAACTGTACCTCCACTCCATCTCAAAATTAATATGACGTGGATCATAAACCTACACATCAAAGCTGGCACCAGTGCTTCCAGGAGAAACATGGTAAGATATCTTTAGGATCACAAAGGAGGCAAATGTTTCCTGGACAGCATCCAAGCAGCACAGACCATAAAGGAAAACACTCGGACTTCCTCAACATTTAAAATATCTGCTCTTTGAAAGACACGATATGAGTGCAGGTAAGCCACAGATTAGGAGAAAATGCTCATAGCAGCGTGTCTGACAGTATCCAGAACTTATCGAATAACTATCACAAGTTGACAATAAGAAGATAACATCAAATAATGTGAGCAAAACCCTTGGGCTGACACGCCTCAAAAGGAAATACATGAATGGCCAATAAACACATGAAAAGATGCTCAACACCATCAATCATCAGGGAAATGCATAATAACATCAAAGCAGATTCAATTTCACACGCACTGAGGGGAAAGAACGCCAAGTGATGGTGAGAGTGTGGAGCAACAGGAGCTCCCCTCCACTCTGGTGAGACTGTAAAAGGTTGCAACCACCTCTGAGGACATGGTAGCAGCGCCTTACACAGTTAAACCTGTCCTTACCGTGTGACCCATGATTCCACTCTAGGTATTTACCCAAGAGAAATGAATAGGTGTCCACATAAAGCCTGTCTAAGAATGGTCATTACCTCTGTATTCATAGTAGCCCCCAGTTGGAAATCACCCAGGGGTCCGTCAGCAGCAGGTGATGCACCAATTTTGATAAATCCATGCAATGCGATGGTAACCCAGCAACAAAGACTCGCCGCATTCCAACAGCAACAAAGTGCGAAGGGAAAGAAGCAGACCGGCTAGAGAATATACTGTGTGGTTCCATTTATATGAACTCCAGTCACAAAACTGATTGGCGGTGATGGAAATCAGTGGGAGGTGGGGCACGGACTGGATGGAGAGCTCAGGGGACCTGCCACTGGATGGTGCTTGTCTGCTTCTGGGGAAGACCCACCAACACAGGGCTGCTCTCAGGACAGAGGCCAACGTCGTGAAGGTGTGCAGGGCCCTGCGTGTTCGGGCCCCCAAGCTTTCTGGCCTCTTCTGGAAAAGCACCCATCCCTACCTTTGCTTTCTGGACTTCAGGCCCTCTGGCCCTCACAGGTCCTGTGCTGACCTGACCATAGCTGTCATGTGAGTGTCCCACTAGTGCCCGTCTCTCCTGGTGGCCCAAAGTACTGGGGGTGGATGGCCTCTGATCTGCTCAGGGCCCTACCCCAGTGCCCTGGGTGAGTGACAGGGGCAGAGCCAGTGAGGACCAGTGAGGACCTGGTAATGTGGGCATGGCTCTGACTGCCCAGAGCATACCCTGGTCCAGAGTAGGTCAGAGGTGGGCCTAGTCTGAAAATTCAAATTAGGGAGAGGCTGAGGGGGTTCGGCCCAAGTGAGGGCAGAGTGAATGGACAGAAGGTCCAAGAGCCAAACCAAGGAGTGGGGAGGCTGGGGCTCCAGGTCACCCTCAGCTGCAGGTTGGAGGGTCTGCGGCGGGTCCGGGCAGAGGCCCCCCAGACTCGGTGCCTGCGCTGGCCTGCGGGCCAGGTACCCAGGCTCAGGTCCCAGCTGTGTGCTCTAGGCTTTCTGCCTTCACCCTCAACTCAGGTCACGGGTCCCCCTGCAGCTGTGAGCTCCCCTGGAGGCAGTGTGTGACCATGTGTTTTGCAGGTGTGAGACCTGGGGCCCCTGCACACCCCATCTTCTAGCCCCAGGGAAGCCCTAAGCGAGGATCTGCCGTGAGCTCCCCGCAACAAAGGTGCAGTCAGGGGGCAGCAGTGCCTTCCTGCCAGACTCTTCCGCAGCCCAGCCCGCACAGTGAGGATGGATGGCCACCTGTTCTTTATTGAGTATTCTCAGAAGGCCAGTGACCTGGGGACGGCAGCTCAGTTGAGAGGAGCTGAGAAGCTGAGGATCCTGAGCCCAAAGGGCCATTTCCAGGGAGTTCTACGAGGAAGGAGAAGGGCCACTTGGGGCTGGGGCCTATCCTGCCCCCGGGCCCAAGGGCAGGGCCTGGTGCCCAAATCATAGCTTGTTCCGGGGGCAGCGCTGCAGGGCCTCCTGTAGGGCCTCAATCACTCGGTCCACGTTCTCCCGGGTGGCGTTGCAGCCCAGGAGGCCGATCCGCAGCACCTGGGGGGCAAGGGCGGCGAGACGTCGTCCTCCACCCAGGACCCCACCTGGCCCTGGCTGAGGTTTGGACAGAGCCAGGTGGGCTCCCAACGAGGGGACTCCCACCCAGGGTACACAGGGAAGCCAGAGCTTCCTCCAGTCACACAGGGAGCTCCCAGACCCAGGCAGAGCCCACAGAGCTCGAGAAGGGTATCCAGGGTGGCGGTCAGAAAAGGCCACTCAGAATCACCCTTTCAGTGGGCACAGCTGGACCTGGGCACAGGGCCTCCTGCCTGCTCTGCCCCACAGAGGGGAGGAAGGACATTCTGGGTGGAATTGGAGGTGCTGCACCTCACCAGCTGGGGAAGAAGGGCCCAGATCCCCCCTGTACACACCCCTGGGGTTTGGAGAAAGATGTTCCCTTCCGGACACCCCTGCTGTCCTGGGTCCTTGGTTGACTGCCGACCTCAGCCTGGACCCAGGCACAGTCATGCTCCATGTGGGGGTGAACCTAGTTTCTGTGGTAGGTATGGCCACCCCCTCACCTTCCCCAAGGAGGGCCCCAGGCCGCCCGTGATTTCGATGGAGAAGTGGTCCATGAGGTACTTGACGATGTCTCTCCAGTCGTAGCCAGCGGGCACGGCAATCGTGGTGACGGTGGGCAGCCGGAGCGTCTGCAGGACAGGCCTGGCTCAGCACCATCCTGACCGCTCCGGGCCAGCCCACCCGCCCTGCCTTGGGCTTCAGAGGGACAGGTGGGGCTGGGGAAAAACTGGGGGGTCACAGGCTGCTGCTCAACCCCCAAGTGCCTCCATATGGCTGTTCCCTCAAGCAGGTCACACACATCCTGTGTCAGGGGGGCTTCAGTTGCCTCCTGACACTTGGGGTGCCTGGCTCATTCAGCCGACCTTCCCCCCAGTCAAAGCCCATGACTGGTTGGGCTCTGGAGGCCGATGGGAATCTTCCAGGTCAGGGATCCCCCATAACTAGTCCAGGTGGAGGGGCTATGGGGGAGATTGAGGCATCGAACTAAAGATTCAGAGGCCGGGGAGCCATGACCTTGATAGTGATGGCCCCCAGGATTGTCCCCAACCCCAGGACCACAGGAACCTGCGTCCATATAGAGGGAACTGGGCAGGAGCTGTCCCCTTCCGCAGACCCCCATGGGGCAGAGCCTCCCTCCCCTACCCCCAATCTCCTGGCCCCTGCCCTCCTTACAGGATCCTTCACAAAGAGCTGCAGGCCCAGCCCTTGAAGGCGCCCGTGCAGGTAAGCGGTGACATCCCGGTGCCGTCGCCAGCTGTTCTCCAGGCCCTGCTCGGGGAGAGGGCACCAGTAGGCAGGTGGGTGGGGAGGAGAAAGCAGACTCCCACCCACAGGGGCAGCTTCAGACTGGGGGGCTCCAAGCCTGCCCGGGACTTTGAACCCCTTGAGAGTCTCCTTGAGCTCCCAGGTTTGGGGCTATGGCTCTGCGCCAGGGGCTACCTCTGGTGAGGGGGATGGGGCCCAGCCAGCACTGGAGCCCTGGGGAGGTGAGTCGAGAGCACCTTGTGCAGGTGGGGGGCTGGCCAGGGGAGGGCAGGGGGTTTCTCAGTCACACACTGCCCCCTGTCTTCTCAGCACACTGACCACAACCTGAGTTCCATGTGGCTCCACCCTCTCCCTGCCCTACACCCTCACACCCAGCCCACCTTCAGAGCCACCCCCTGTGACAAAGGGCCCAGTCTGGGGCCAGTGACCTCCGCCTCCTCGATGCCAGCTCAGCTCTGGGGCGGTGGCTTTATGAGTGGACACAGGAGGGCAAGTGCGACCAGCGCAGCACTGAGCCTCGAGGAGAGGCCGCCCACAGCCCGCTCTCTTCCTGGCCTCTGGGCTGGGGGCCAGCGTGGCCCAGGGGGAGGTCAGGGCGGTGAAGGTGGGCTGAGCTGCAGCTGTGTGTCCGTCTGTGCCCTGCAGAGCCAGCCCAGCCTGTGTGAACAGTCGTCCCAGCACTGTCCCTGTCTGGCTCCTGACCCCAGCCTGGGGGCTGGATGTGGCTGCAGGAAAGTGCCCGGCTGCTGAACTTGGGTAATTTTACACTCACAAACCTGGCTCCTGCCCTCACTCCGGGCCGCCCCACCCCTCCCCTCTGCACACCTTGCCTCTCCTCAGACCCCTCCTGCTGGCTGGGCCCTCACGGAGGTGTCACTCAGCACCTACCCGCCCTGGGTCCTGTCCCCGGCCACCCTCGGCCCCCAGCTGGTTCTCTCCTGCCTCACCTCTTCTGCGATGAGGGCCAGGCTCTCTCTCAGGCTGAACAAGCTGATGACGGGGGTCGTGTGATGGTACCTGGAA